TTTTTTTTACCCCCCGTAGTGATCCGAGGCCATAACCATGGTTGGGTTGGTCATGTTCACTCATCCAGCTTACATGTCCTGTAAATCCTAAACCCAGGCACAAAACAATGCGTGTGCACGTGAATGTTTGAGTAATAAAATGTACTCGGCTCCACACGACAAATCCGGATTTTCAGTCCTGTTTTTCGCATTATCTAGTTTTCCAGCAGACGCCATCACAGGCGGCTCTTTACACAACATGCAACTCAATAACCTCACTAAAGCCCTTCATGCGGCTTCTCCGCTCAGCCGTACGTTTACTTCCTCGGGGGAAAAGGATGGCGTTTTTTACAAAGCTACGGACGATAAAAGTCAGCCACCCAAATATAAAGATTGTCTCAATGTCAGAATGAATTTGTGGATTCTGCCTGTTTAAAATAGGTGCTGTTAGCATGTTAATCTCACACTGCAAATGAATACCTGCGCATTCTGGCCTATAGAACAGTGTGTTTTATTTTAACTCAAATTAACACATTTGGAAGAACAAAGAGAGAAAACCCATTATTCTACCAGTAAATTCCTCCTTTTTGGACTATGACCAACCTTAACAAACTGTCCCTCCCGAGGTAGCAAATGCCGTTCAGCGCCAACTTGGTCACCCGGCCTGTGTTGCTATTAGACGACTACCCTGCTAGCAGGACTAAAAATCAGATACAAATTGAGTAGAGACTTCGGGTCGGAAAACATAGTCGGCATGCTGTAAGAGTATTTAGATCCTGCATGCCATACATTTCATTTAGGTGCTCCTGCACACAACAGTGATAAAACGCTGTGGAAGCATCCTGCATAGTTGGCCGTCGTTGGGAGCCAAAAGTCTGAAGGTGAAATTGACTTTGGGGTCAAACCACGAACCCTTTAAGCCTCCATTGATTTACAGGGGTGGGGGTCTCCCCTCATCCCGCTCTGGAATAGCTCTCGTAATAGCCACTTGCAAAGCAGATGGCTTCTAAATTTTTAACATACAACCGTGTTGCTTTTCCTCTTTTTTTGGTCTACAGTCGCGGAGGTTAATGATTTAACGAGTGAGAAACAGAAACATGTTCAAACTGGGGCTGGAATTCACTCCTCTGGTGTGCAGTTATTTCCCTTAATTGTTTCCTGAACTTTGCCCCTGAGGTTTCCCTGACCCGGCATATCCTGACGGGGCTCAGTGGCAGACGTCGATTTAGGAAGATGGAAGAGGCTCCTCTATGTGTGTGCGTGTCTGTCTGTGTGTGTGTTTGTGTGTGGGGGGTGTGGTTGGAGCTGGTCCACTACAGGTGCTGGCAGGGCCAACCGTACCTCATTTGGTTCTGACACACACTTCTCCATCACCTCCACAATCGAAGCCTGTGCATTTCCATCTTTCTCCCCGCAGCTCCTCCAGGAAGATCCCTTTAAAACAAAAACACTGATCTGCTCCAAGCCTCACATCATCACTACTTTGTCCAGAACAACCAAGAACTTAACAATTATTTTCCTTTTGTGTTGCATGTTTCCCTAATTTACTGCAACGAAAACAGTATAATAAAAAAATGTATTCAAGGTTGTTGTATTGGAAATAGCTCAGAAATTCAAACTACCTTTATTGAAAGTTGGCATTATTGTTTCAAGTAGCTTGAGATTTTACTTAAACTTGTGTTGATTTAAGTGATCCCAAAACACGCTCAGGGTGGGAAATGCTGTGAAATTGACACTGGCTTGGAGATGAAGGTAATCTTCCTCTTAAGAAGAATAATCCCCTGAATGCTCTCCATGTTCAACCCCCCCCAGTGGCATCACCAAAGCCTCGCTCTGTTATTTGTCCCAACTTTGACCTAAATTAAGTTTCATCCTCAGCGATTGAGCTCAAACTTCCCAATAACTTCCCTCACACAACCACAAGCAGGCAGCTGTTTCCCTTCTGCGCTCCGTGTTTAAGACTTTAGACTTAAACTCCTGTGAAGCGCTCGATGCCGACAGTCTTTATGGGCTGGAAAGAGTAGAAAAGTTCATTCCTCCCGCTGAGCTCAACTGGCCGACTCTGGGCCGTGTCCCAGACGCCGACCCCCTGGGGGGGTGGGGGGGGTCATTGTATCTGAGCATGAAGGGAAGTGGGTGATCCTTTCACATCAGGTCTAAATCATCCCGTGTTCCCAGCTTCTGCACATCTCCTCAACCTTCTCTTTTTTTTCCCACCTGGAAAAATAGCCGTCAGTGAAACATGATACAGAGCAATAGGTGGGGTGTGGGGGGGGTCGCTGCTCTGCCCTGCTAATGGAGATGGATGTGGGCTTGTCTCCACGAGAGAGAGAGAGAGAGAGAGAGAGAGAGAGAGAGAGAGGGAGGGAGAGAGAGGAGGGGGGGGTTGGATCCATTTCTCCTGCTCTGGCTTGCAGAACTCCTTTAATGACGAGAGGTGGGGAATAGCGGGAGGAGGAGGGTGGAGGGGGCTGATTTGAGAGGAGAGGAGCCCTCTGTGTGTGGGGGGGGGGGGTGGCTGCAGAGAGGACGGGGTGGGAGACATGTTGACAACAGAGGAAGATAGATGATAAGGGAGCAGGGAGCAAAGTGTTATTCAAAGAGGTGTAATGCAAAGAGAGAAAGCCCTGAGATGGAGACGGACAGAGAGAGATAGAGAGGGGCCACGATTACCTACAAATCACTGCATTGCTACTCTGCCTCCAGTGAGCCCATCGCTCCTGTCCGTCACCCTCTCAGTCGAGCTTCCTCCCGTCCATTGTGAACGCAGGTGTCACAACCGTTGTGCGGCTTTGGGAATATCTGTAGTAGAAGCAACCCTGTGGATGACGAGAAGCAGGAGAAGACTACTTCACCTGTGGGGCCCGGCAGGTGCAGCTGAGGCTGAACAACAAAGGTGTTTAATCCCTCACAGCGGTTCCAGTGGTCACCTTGTGATGTGTGTCCAATCCAGAGCCGAAATAAATTTCCGAGGTATTTTTTTTGAGTCGTAATCGTGACATAGTAACTAAATGACGTGACTTTGTGATCTTCACGGTCTCCCGGATGACACATTTGCATTTGATGATTCCCTGAATCTTCCTCTAGCACCATGAGGATGACTGACAGAGGGTGTGGGGACACTTGTCCCGCTTGTTAAGATGAATACTTTACTATACACAGGTTATCTCTCACTGCCTGCTGCAGCTTTCATAAAAATAAAAGGAAACACCATGATAATGTTTAGGGGGCAATGAACACATCCGATCTGAGCAGAGATACTTTGACAGACAGCAGAAAATGGATGATTTCACATATTTCACACTTCCGGAATCAGGAAACGAGATCAAACCACTTTAGCTACATCACAGGATACCCGCCTTCCTCCAGGTTTCACCACACATTTTATATTCAGCCTTGACAGCAGAAGACGTTTATCACTCCCGGAGTCCTTTGAGCCGCCGCCGTGGTTTGTGTTTCTCTGTGTGTGACTCACTTGAAAGCACTTGATGAATCCGGGAGGAGAAAAAACAAAAGGACAGAAGAAAGTGGTCGGCTTCATCGACTTCCTGTTTTTACCCACCGATGGCTATAAACTGGGAGAAGCACACATGTTGACTCTCCTAAACAGTCGTACGTGGTTGATTCTGAGCATCCGAGGCTTTAGTGTTTGTACAGGAAGCTGTCAAGCAGCAGGGAATCATTTCATTGGATTTGGACCCTCATAGTACTTAAGTGTGTGGTGTTGTGGGTGTGAGCGTGCATGCTGTACTCTTTGCAGGGCTTCTTTGTAGAGAGGAGGCCATGTGTTTAAGGCCCTACTCCCTTCTGCAGCGCCTGGGAGTTCCTCGACATATTTGATGAAGTTATTCATGTATGCATGTTCACAACCAATACTTAATATTGTAAGCTGACGGTTCTTATTTCATCACTTGCATGTCTGTCTGTGTTAGCAGCAGGATTCCTCCTGTTACTCATCCTGAGGTCCAAACGTTCTTTTCCCCTCAAAGGTTTTGTTAGGGAGTCTGAGCCTAAGGAGGAAGGTGATGCGTTATATTTTGCACAGATATTACATGACTGGCCTGAACGGAGCCCTGAACTCATGCAGCACCTCTGGGATGAAGGCGGCCATCAACTGCCTTCCCGAACTCGTTGCTCTCAGGCTTTTGCACTCAACGGGAGCAATTCTCCAAGATGAGAAGAGAATGGTTTCATATCAACAGATTATTGTTTAATAACCTCATAATGAGTGCTAAAGGATTCAAATGAAAGAAATGCCTGAAAAATATAACAATTAATTTTATTTTCTGTATAGCTGGGGTAAATTGATATCTGTACTGTATTTTACAGTACAGATATATATGGAATATGTCAATGCTTAGTAACAAAATTGTTCTTCTGCAGAGAACCACACAAATCATCATGTATTTGCCCCCCACGGTCAAACATGATGAAAAATAGCTCTTTAGTAAGAGTACAATTTTAAGGACAGGGCTTGAACTTGTTATTATAGGTTGCATGATTTGATACCGTAATGGATGTACGATCAAATATTTTGTTTTTAATAGGGACATGTTTTTGCCCTTAAGTGTCTCTTTCCAAAATAAATCAAAATTTAAAATCAAAAGTGTATGACATATGCATGTACTCAGCCAATGAAAAAATATTCAATTAAAAAGCCCAAAATGTCGCGAAAAGATTTGAGTACTTCTTTCATCACTACACAATATTTTGCGTTTCTGCAGCTGAGGCCACATAGCAACCAACTCCTGTGCAACAGCTCCCTCTTGTGGATAAATACAACACATCATAAAATGTGTCATGACAAAATTGTAGTCCAAATAAAATGTTTACTTCATAGTCATACAAACACATATATACATCTTGACTAAATGAAATAACACTTTACTCCATCTTTGTATCAACCTGATTACCGTCCTGTTTACTTCTCTCTCTGAGTTCCTGTATGGCCCTCCAGCTGTTCTCCAGACTTGCCCTCAGCTCGGCCAGATCTCTCCTGATCTCATCGAGGAGCTCCAGCTTTGACAGTTTCCTGTTGATGGATGAGAGCACCTCATCCTCCTCCTCTTCCTCCACCTCCTCCCCCACATCTGCAGTGGGACGGACCGGTTCCTCCAATGACCCCACAGTTTTCTCCCAAATCATCTCAAAGTACGAGTCGATAAAGGCTTCCAGCTCCTCCAGGCTGCTCTCGCCCCATTGGTCGATCAGTGCCTGCAGGCCTCCGCTCTCGCTGAGCCCCGCCAGAGTCCGCTCTCTCGGCGCAGGGCGGCAGAGCGAGTGCACGCTGATGCCGCTTTCCTCCGCGAGCGTCCCGCGTTGCGTTTGAGGTGCAACCAGCAGCATCGTCGGCCGCTTGGATGAGAGCGGACGCCGCGCACAGTTCAGTCTCAGGTGAAGGACATCGTTCGGGAGCCACCCGGGCGGATTCATGGTCCACCTCGCCGCCGCTCCCCCAGAGAGCATGGAGGCTAAACAGGCCGCGAGGGCGTCTCCCACCAGGATGTCCGGTCCAGTCCATGCTGTTCTCGCTGCTGGCAGGGCCACCATCCGAGCGCCACCATCGGGGCCTCCAGAGCAGCTCCGAGGTGTTGAAGTGGTGGGTTTGGCCGATCCAATCACTGCAAAGGAGACAACGGGCAGACAGACTTCACGCGAGCCATAAACAATTCTAACAACCGTCTCCACCCGTTCTAAGATATGAATCTCCTTATCTCCCTCTAACAGGTGCTGCTTCCTCCCTGTTTATACCATAAACTAGTGTAGATTTGATCCTGCCACACGATGCGGAATGTGACGGCACGCGACACCTGATGTTTTGTATGATGCATATTCCTTAATACTATTTCTATTTCCATGTCATTTGATTCTTGCTCTTTTTAAAACCTTGTTTATTAATGTGCAGTGCCCACATTCTGCCCCTCCCTTCAGGTCCCTGGATTTTAATATCCCTCCATTCACGTGGACTCAGACTTATACGCCTATTTCCACACCTTCTGAAAGAAGTGGAACATGTTACCAGCCCTTTTCCACTCCTCTTTCAATATGTAATATCTTCCATCGGGGAGAAAGCACCCAATGAATCACATTTACTTACGCTGACGGGGACACCTGATGTCTGCAGATCGTGATCCTCTTTCGATCCTTGTCACGCCGGGTCACACCCTGTGTCACGCGATCCCCTCCGCGGAGGACGACCGGCGCGTCTTCAACCAGCGTCTCCTCGATCAGGGCGATGAGCTCGTTGACCTGAGCCCCGTCCGCCCGGTGCTTATTATCCAAGACGTGGTACCTGTTCCCGCACCGCTCCACCAGCCTCCGCAGCGGCTCTCCTTCGCTCTCGATGCGCTGCTCGATGCTCGTGTCGCCCAGCCAGTCGCCGTGGCTGAACAGCACCGCGGCTGTGCGCCACATCTGGCCTCCTCCGGCCTCCAGCTGTTTCTCCATGGCCTCCAAGTGGTCGGCGCTGAACGAGGAGCTCACGTTGACCACGGGGAGGATGGCGCAGGACGCCGGGCGGAGGAGGTCAGGGGTCGCGTTGAAGCGGGCCGGTGTGTCCAGCACCACCACCGTCTTGCCGCCGATCGTGGCTGGTTTTTCCCAGCAGGAAGTGGTGCGGTTCCCCGCGTGGGAGCGCTCTCTGTTGAGGATGGTGTCCCCACACGAGCTCTTACCGGTTTTCCTGCCGCCTATGAGCACTATTCTCAGTTCTGTGATGGCGTTGAGCTTCTCTGTCGGAAAGGAGGTGTACACATCAAAGAAAACCCTCCACGGTTACATTTTGTCCCAAAGAATCTAAGCAAAAAAAGCATCTAAATCCAAATTGTGTTTATTCAAGCCCACATTGTCACTTTTAAACGAATCCAACTCACCCAGCTGAGACCTCGCCATCTGCCTTTGCCTCTCCCTCCTCGCCAGCCTCTCCATCGCTCGCGCCCCCTCTCTCCTCCTCTCCTCCTCCAGCTGTTCCACCACTGGCCTCTCCACTTCGATATGCTGGCGGCCGCTGCGGCCGGCCAACATCTCCTCGATCTTCAGGATCAGCTCTCTGACTTGATGGCCTTGATCCCCTCTGGTTTTGTTGTTCAGGACGTGGCACCTGTTGCCGCATCTCTCCACGAGACCCCGCAGAGGCCCTGCCTCGCTCTCCACGCACTGCTCGGCCGTCGTGCCCGCCAGCCAGTCCCCGCAACTCAACAGCACGATGACGCGCCTCCACGCGCGCTCGCCGATGAGCCGCATGTGCTCCTCCGCTGCCCTCCAGTGGGTTTCGGAGAAGGCTCGGTCCGCGCGGATCACCAGCAGGACCACGTTGGGCCCCGGAGGGCAGAGAGACGCGCCGAGCGCCAGCTCCCTCCGGTCGAAGACGGGACTCTCGGCACAGAAGTAGTTCGCCCACCAGCCCGGCGTGTCCACCACGGTCACCTGCCTCCCAAACACCGGGCCCGTCCCCACCACGCACCGGGCCGTTCTGCGCACTCGCTGGCCGCTCTCTGTGCTCAGGATTGTGTCCATGGTGGAGCTTTTCCCAGAACCCTTGGCTCCCACCAACACAATCCGGATAGAGCTCACGGGCCGCAAACTCTCTGGAAGAATGAAGCAAGTTTATCAGACTTGTGTGATTTCTTATCAACATTCATTTATTCATTTGCAAGTAGGGAAATGCACTTTAGACATGGGGTCCCCAATCAATTTGGGCAATGTGTAAGGTGAAGAAACGCCTGGTGACGCTTGTGAAATATGTCAAAGGATGAGCGCACGTAATTAGGAGAGAATCCGGTCACGACCGGTACCGGTCCGCGGCCCGGTGGTTGGGGACCCCTGGGTTAAATGATCACTACTAGTTTCCCCAATAAAACAAAACAATTAGCTTGCCAAGTTGTTGAGACGTTAATGATACCGATGAACTCGCCTCTCATCAGAGATCTGTGCTCCTTCGCCATCACGAACCTCCGCCGAGCCCTTTCCTCCACCCTCCTCTTCTCCTCCGCGGTCGCGCGCGCGACGCTCCCCCGCACCTCAAACACTCCGTTTCCATTGCGCGTGACGAGTTTCTGGATCTCCTCCAGCAGCCCGCCGACCGCGCCGACGTCCCCCGAGACCACGCGGCGGCACCTGTGGCCGCACTTCCCGGCGAGCCAGCGGAGGGCCTCCGCGCCGCCGCCGCGCGCGAGCTCCCGGCGGTCGGCGGAGACGAGGACCAGCACGCAGTGGCTCCACACCTTCTCCCCCAGCAGGGACACGTGCTCCTCCACGGCCCTGCGGCGCTTCTCCGAGAAGAGCGCGCTCGCCTTGACGGTGAGGAGAAAGGCGTGCGGCCCCGGGGCGCACAGGGCGACGCTGCTCACGATCTCCCGCTTCACCAGCTCGGGCGTGTCCCGGGAGCTGAAGTCGCACCACCAGCCGGGAGTGTCCACCACGGTGACCCGGCGTCCGGCCACCACGCCCAGGCGCCTGCAGCACGAGGTCCTCTCTCGGGGGACAAACTCCTCTTTGCCCAGGATGAGGTTCCCCAGACAGCTCTTCTCACAGTTTCGGCCCCCGAGGAGGACGATCTTCAACTGTGGTGCAGCAGAGCAGCCGTCCACTGACACCATGAAGATTTCAATTAAAGCTTTAAGGACTCAAATCCGATGGATCTTGAGCAGTTTAAAGTTTAAGGTTATACAATTGGAATATTTACTGTATTTCTTTCTTTGTCTAATAGTTTGTATGACAATAAAGCCCCAACAATTTAGATAATCAATCAAAAAGTTAAATATCTCTGCAGGTGTTTGGGGCCCAAAGCCAGATAAACCATTTTATTCTCAGTTTAATTTTTACTTCTGAACTTTGTTAAATCATATCACACTTTTACAATTATATAGAAATGTAATAATTTAGATGATACATGCTGACATTATAATACACAAAATACGTATGAGATGAAAAAAGGTCAAAATGTGGCAATAAAAAATCAAATACAATCGAATTTTAGATATTAGGAAGACATTGAAAACTTATAACGACTACATGAATAGGAAAAGCTGACATAAAGTGTCAAACTTACATGCTGCCGGCTCGCTGGTTGCCATGTCACATGTTGTACCATCTAAAAGCAGGAAGACTTTAAATTAAACATCATTTACTCTACTTTCACGTCCACATGTGCCTGTGTTCTTGGTCTAAAATGAGAACAAAGCTTCCTGTTGAGGGAGGGATACTGTGAGACGAAGTTTGTGTTTTACAGGTTTATGAGGCTGAAGGTTGTCTGTAATGAGTAATACGTCACTGAGTGGACCACACCTGTCAGCTGCAGGTCAACAGTCCAGAAGAGTCTGTGCTTTGTTTACCATTTACCAAACGCAGGACGGTTTGTACAATCACATTTACTGTTACTATGTTATTAAAATAATAACATAATAACATCCTCATTGCATCTAGGAATAAATCATCCAAATACGAGACAGTAAATATGAGCAGGACAGCATGAAAATATTCATAACTGAGCTTTTCTGAGAGTCATTAATTGAAGTACTCAAGTAGATACTACTAGATAGTAGATCTATTTAAGGTACTTGTCTCTGTTTGAGTATATCTTTCATTAAATCAATGATTTAGTTACATTTACCGATTTAGAATTTACAAAAAATGAACATTCAATAGGATTAGCTTTTGTAATTTAAACCACCAAATGTTACTATTTTGTGTATAAGTGAAGAAAGTATCAGTACAAGCAACGATACTGATGTTATTTGATTGGTAACTCTAAAAGTGTCATGTCATGGAGTCGTTCACAGTTGTTAAAACTATCAGCTAACCACGAGATATTTTCAACAAAAGTGTCTGACATTATTTTGTTCTGGAGCCACGAGGCAAAAACAATTTGTGAGCAGTGTGACCGATGCCGGCTGCACATTGTTCCCCATCCCAACATTGCTTGATTCATGGGAGAGGGAGGAAGAAAAAATAACATTTATTCCCATTTTTTAATGTAAAAGGGGTGATTTTTTGGCTCTGATGGACACCTGGACGTTTTCAAAAGGGGGCTAACTAAAAGTAGATTTTATTTGTCAGGGAGCACAATCCAAAAAGGTCAGGAGACATTTGCCACATTAGCCACATAAGCTGAAACATTACCAACAAATGCGGTGGGGTGGAAAGAACAAATAAATACGGCATAAATGTAGTGAGGCGTTGTCCTCAGCTAATGTTACATTTCAAATGCAAGCATTTAATCCATCACTTTGCGACTTAAACCCCCCGCCCCCTTGATTTGGTTCCGGTTTCACTAATGTCTCCCGGTTTAAGCTCCGCCCCGTTGCCCGGCTCCGTGTTACAAAACCAGCTAACACACGGCACCGCGCACAGCTTTGTACCGCTGAGACAGACGGCACGAAGAAAAGCGAACAATGGGGGTGACAATTAGAGTGGAATACTGGTAACTCAGTCTTTTATCGTTTCCCTTCCTTGTGTGACTGTACAGCTAACCTGCTGCTTGTTTTTTGGGAGGGGGGTCCTTGCCGTAAATCCCACTGAATGGACTGTTGCGGCACGTTAGCATCGTTAGCTCACGGCTAGCATGGAGCCAGGTGTAACTGCTCTTCTTGTTTTTAATCAATAACTTGTTCCTCACGCAGTGGCAACTGAGGCTACGAACCCCGCTATCAGGAGCTCAGGAGTGCTGTCAAGCAGGAGTTTCCCGATGCGGATGTTGCGGGCTTCGTGGGAAGACGAGGTGAGTGTGTTTTATTTAATTGGATTTATTGGTGACTGATCGCTGTGTGAACGGCGGGGCGCATTAGTCATTGTTAATGACTGGGCTCGTTCCAAAGGCCGTGACGTCACAGGTGGCGTCCTCTTTATGCTCCTCTCTTCATTTCGCAGGCAGCTTTGAGATTGAACTCAACGGGCAGCTGATCTTCTCCAAGATTGAACTCGGGGGGTTCCCACATGAGGACGATGTGAGTGAGATGATGAGGGAATGTAAATCCGTGATCACTGCAGTGAAATGTGATGTAGCCCGTCAGGTCCTGCGCCTAGGGTGTATTTTGTTTACGTGCCACTTTCTGGTTTTACTTGTACTACTTCTTCCAGGGGCATGTACATTTTTTTATGCTATTAATAACAACGTTTGGTTCGGTTTGGTTTAAACACATTTTCACAGAATGCAGTAAGCCTTTCAATTAGAGGTCGACCAATCATTTTGTAAATGATAGTTTGAGGGGAAAAATCCACGTGGCAGGAGCTACATTGTTGCATTAGATAATGTAACAACTATATTCGTCAGACATGACTCGTCAGCTTGCTGTAAAACCAAATCTGGATAATTTCATTTCCATCTAAATAATTCCTAACGGAATTTGTGAGTCTCTACCCCCCTAAAAATGACATAAGTTCACCTTCCAACGAACTACATAGCATTTTCAAAGAAACTTCAGTTGTCAAAACATTACCTTTTTTCCTTTTATTTTTTTAATAACAAGCACGATGCGTCACTTGATATGTTCACAATGATCCGATCACGTGCTGTTCATGTCAAATCATTATCTGAAGAGGAACAAGGAAATGTTAATGACAAATTTCTCTTTCAATACTGGTAAATTACACTAACAATACTCCTTTTTTTTTTTTTTTGACCACAGGTCTTGGATGCTGTTAACAAGGCCAACGATGGCAAACCTGTCGACAAGATCACCAAAAGCCGTGCACCGTGCGTCATCATGTAAACCTGCCCTGCCGCTTCCAAACCGGCCGGTGCGACTGTAAACTGCCAATGTCACCTCTGCTCTATAGAAGACTGGCGGAGATGCACTAGGGCCGGTGTCTCCTGTCGCCAAACATCTGGCTCCCCCTCTCGGTTCTCATTATGGTGCTCCGGGCTGTTAATGATTACTGTGGCCTCAAAGGTTAAAGGTCATAGTGTGATGAAGCCATTCCTGGAAGTCCCTTTATTATGGAAGCTGAGATGGGGAGAAGATGTTGCAGGAGGATCGAAGGGAGATCCCTTTACTTCGCTTTTCCTACTGCCTCGTTGCCTGATATTCTATAACTGTTTAATTCTTGTTTTTCACGTCTACAGTCTCTGAGCTTACATGCAATTGCAGGTTTTCACACGAGAGTTATGCAAAGTAGATGCAAATATTTTTTTAAAGGGAGTCCACCCCTTGGTTTCTGCCTCTGCACAGGTCTTTTGTTAACAGTCGTTTTTAGGATATGATAAATATTTGAAACGTTACTGTAAGGGTTGTAGATATAGGCTGGCAACAATTTTTCTCTTTCCATATCAAATAAGATAACTTTTCTATCTCATATGCGCTTTTCTGTATTGTCAACTGTTGGCTACTAGAGCGATCGTCCGCAGTGCTGCTGAAGACCACCAACCCCTGGTTTGTCAGCTCACGCTTAATAAGATGTCTGCTCGTTTACCATAAATCACCTCGATGTCAGGAAACTTTTCAACTTTAAATAAACCTACTGTAATAGCTCATGTGCTGCGGTTGTCATTCCTTCATGACGTATAGTGTCTTTTATTTTATTATTTTTATTTAAAATGTTTCCCTACAGACAACCAAATGTTGTTATCAAAGAATCTTTTGTGAGGTTTTGTTTTAGTCAGCCTCCCCCTCATGCACACTTTTAAACCACACCACGGGCTGCCTTACGCTTGGCGGCTTTCACCTAAAGCTGCTCCTTTGGGCGGCATCTTGGTTCGGTCTCTTGGCGACGTTGGCTCGCGACTGCCAATATTTCCAGTCAACAGGTTGGACGAGGTTTCTCTTTGTTCCGTTAAGCGGCCCGCATGGCAACAGTCACCCAAGTCGAATAACCCTCAACGTGTTCTCTCACCAACACACAAGGGACAATTTAGACAAATTTAAATTTCACTTGAGTACCTCTGAGGATTGCTTACCAGGAAAAACTATCAATTATTTGTAATGCTTTCCTACATTCGATTCAAAATCCCTGATAGTTGTATAGAGCAAAAGACATGATTTATTCTGTTTCTGTCTCTTTGGTCACACTAAGGGGCGCTAATGTCCACACTCAGAATCTAGCATCCCCAGACTCTTAAAAAGGTACACCTGAAAACAAGCACATGGTCGGGCCTGCATTCAGCGGTTGGAGAAACCCAACAAACCTGTGTGTTCTCAAAACATCACCAACAAATTTTAAATAATAGTTCTACTTAATTTAATTCCATTCGGTTGAAACTCAGACTGTGTATTTATTTCAACAAACAGGATATAACACTAAAGATGTTAAGCCAACAAACCATCTGAATTATTAAAGTTCTTAAATGAATGTCATTTTGATCATTGAGCATGAAAATTATATTTAGAAAAGAAGCACAGCTCAATAACCGTGTCTAAATTACTAGATTTCTTTTTAGTTGAACTATACAGAACAAAGGCTCAGGTCCGGTGGTGCAAAGCCAAGATAATCAACAGGTTTGGGTTTAAAAATCAGAAAGCAAATACAGTTAGAGTGAATTGCGTGAATAGTACGATTTTTCACTACTGTCATCCTGCAATCATTTTAACAGTTAAAACATGTATACATTTGACTAAAAGTGAGATATTGCTGGTCGTTGGGAATAAATAAAAGTACTGGATCGCTAACTAACCATGAGCTGAGTTTTGTGTTCTCAGGTAGCAGAATAAGTGGTGCTGGTAACCGCCGACAACAGCTGAGGCCGTGTCTCCAGGTCTCACACAGCATGTTGTTTGTAACGGCGTCCACTGAGACGAGGTGGGTCTTTGGCGCCGGCTCTGGCTCTCAGTGATAACTCTCACCGGACTGCTTATCCTAGCCGCAATTATTTAGTCCAACAAATTTAAATTTTAGTTAAAAAATGTACAGGGTAAAAGTTTTCTAGGTGAAACTTCATTAGCGTTTATATAATATATGTATTTTTGGGGGGAAATTTGTGTCTCCTTCTTTTGATCAGTTTGTATAAAGTCGTTAAAAGTACTTTAATAACATATTTTAAAATATCAATCTCGCAGTAAATGAGGAAATTATTTTTACACATTCTAAAGCCATGTGAACATTGTGTTTTGACGTTTCTCACCATTTTACATATGATTCCTCGGCATTACCATAATCTGCCATAATCACATGTATTTTTCGTCTCTCAAATTCCCCTCACATTCTTTTTCATGAAAAGTAGCTTAATAGTACAGATCCCATTCCAGCCACAAGCCTTCTGTTTATTTTATAGATGTTTTATGTGACCCCTTTTGACCTAGATTGTTATCATGAAACACAAACATAATTTTGTCCGTTCTTTTATATATTTTTCTAATGATTGTGTGCCGACAAGATGTTGCATGTGTACAGACTAAAGCCCTCTGAGGCAAATCTGTAATTAGCAATATTGGGCTATACGAAATGTAAATGTTAATTAATTAATCTTGCACCTCTTAAAACGAGGTTTGCAGCTCTTCAGATCTCAATTCGGTATTCTCTGCTGCTACATTCCACAAATAATGCATTCACACTGAAGATTTTCAACATGTCCGTCAGGATAAAAGTGTCCATTTGACGACTGGGAGTGTCTGCATACTGTATGTGAAGACACATGGACGCCGCAGATAGCTTCTTCAGAGTGGTGATAACAGGCCTGAGCCAGCGTGTCTTCAGCCAGGGGCCCCATTGTTGTGTGGTAATCACTTTGATACCCTGACTCGTCCGAGTTGAACAGTACCGCTTTCTTTCAACGGGGACTGCATCTTTCCTGTGAGTTTGTTATGGAAACATCCCTAACAAACAACATTAACATGCCAGTTCCTTCCTGCATTACCTTATTAGTTTCAGGACTTGTGAAGTCAAGCGTTACCTCTTTTTTATCATGGTTTTCTCGACCATGGCAAACCCGTGGCTCTGACTCGTCCTAGAATCATGTGAGGACATCACATTCAGTTGAGTTTAAGTTCACAATTAAAATCCCTGCAGTACCCTTGAAAGTAGCATCTGCAGGAGATGAAGCGGACCGAAGGGCTTCAGGCTTTCCGACAATGAGCCGCCTTCTTCTCAGCAGATGTCACGCGACTTGAACAAGACCGCCACACAAGGGACCTGTTCATGATCAATTGTCCGGTAGCAACAGCAGTGAGATACATACATTTTATAAACAGGCGCATGACCTTTGTCAAGACTGGAGGCTAAAAATCAGTTTCACAGACAGAGTTTGTAGATCTTGAGAGATAATCCGAAACATCATCACTTTTTCTGCGGACTAAGGTGTATTTGGCCCTATTCATGGCCTCAATATAATTGTTGGGTTGAAAGAAGCTGGTGGAAGGAAGCCATGAGCTACATGATGAGTGGCTAATGGATGACATCAGGGGCTTTCACAATCTAACTCAGCATTGGTTACTGGGTGACATTCCCGTGGGTGTAGGTTGAGCAGTCAAACCAGAATCTGTCTCTGAGCTATAAGGGTGAATGCCGCATCACTGCATCGCTACAATGGTGAGAACTGTAAAAGTATGAGCTGATGTTGAAAATACTTTACTACCAGTACCTGTGGGTGTGGTTTGAAACAATTATCTTTACACGCAACACCCTCTGAAGAGTGGCTTGAAATCATGGTGAAATAAAGGTTTTGCTTGATCTAAATAATCTAAAGTTGACTACCTCTGTACCTTTACAAAGACAAGTTTTTCATACCAGGCAGGATATTTGTTATCAGTATACAACTACTTTAACTATACAACTCAAATTCACGTCTACAAATGTGCCTGTACCACAGTGGTACTGATTTCAGAAGGCACACTACTTGTGAACAGTAAAATACAAGAGTTGTTGTTTACTTTGTGTGTCGATCCTCACATGCATTTGCACTTTTGGACTTCTTTGTTGTGTGTGTGTGTGTTTTCTTCCTCCCCCGGTCAACGTTGCATCATTGTGTCGGTATCTAACCCTGTCTACCATGTCACATGAGACAAACAAACTCAACTTAAATTGAAGAAAAAGTTGGGTCCCCCCCCAACCCCATCCTGAGGAATCCCCATTACGTACGTAGGATTACGTACTAAGGTGCTGTCCTCTTGATAGCGTATGATGACACTGTACCCTCTTTGCCCCCCGAGTGCCCCTCAGACGGGACGAGGTTAGGCCTGCCGGTGCAAACGGGTTCATCTTTTACTACGTCTGTCCGGGCTTGGACCTGGTTCATGCTGGGAGGGCGGAGCGGGCAAACTAGGGTTGGGATATCCCTGTTCCAAGGTGTCCCTGAACGATTGGGCCGTTCGAATGTCACACAGGCCTTATCTCCCCCACCCACCTGCCAGGTTGCTTGGCAACCAGAGGGGTTGAGGGGGTACGGCGCGTCTTCGTAGGGTCGACGTAGTTTCATATGGGTGTTCCCGCGCCCCGTTCTCTCACCGCACTGGTCTTTTTCGTCTGTCCTGGCTCAGTTCATCATCGGGCTCGTCAAGGTTGACAGAGCAGAGACCGTCCCGTTTCCAGTGCTGGAGATCAGGTGGGACTACCTGCGTGCAGGTAAGGGTGGGGCCTCCTCCAGGCGGGGGTCTGACACACTTTGTCACACTAGAGGGTAAAGGTCAAACTGGATGGATATCGGAATGTACCGTTACAGGAGAGGAGATATTCTAACCTATAATGTCTTTGCCATTCAAGTATGATAAGGGCGGGAATTCAGATCAACTTATCTACTTGGAGGAAGAATATTGTTCTTGTGGTGTATAATTTTTATAAAAACAAATCCAGCCCTTTTAATTAATTTGAGGTCAATGTCAAGTGCGATTGTCATTTGGGGATTTTTATCATTTGTTGCACTTTGAAATATTAAACCCGCTTATTTTGTCTTTGTGATAAACTATCTGTATATTTTCAGTGTTACTGCATGAGGAATTTAGTGAACCATTTAGTCGCAACACTAAATGGTAATGTTTTGTTCACGTGCAGCACCTAATCTATAGATTACAACCCTTGCTTACTCAATTTAAGGATTTGCAAAGCTAATGGGAAGTTACTTGTCCCTTATTTGGATATTCTGCTGAGAAATATTTTCAAAATAGCAGGGATTTTTCAGTTTGGGAAAGTAAAATTTAATTGCATATATTTTGAGTATTCCTGTCTAAATGTAACCGTTTTGTGGTACTTCCTTGAACAGTCACAGCATATTTCTTTGCTGTACTCTAGGAAAACGGAGGTGTTTGGTTGAAGAAGGGTGTAACCCAAAGATAAGGCTCTACGCGTCTTCCATTTGAACCATAACGAAGATCTCGCAGCCAACGGCTGGCAGACTATCTGTCCAACGCTGTGACTGTAGGCGGCTGGATAGGGGTATATGGCGGCATACTCAGCAGGCCTCTGAGTTGACTTTAGAACAGCAGTGCTTTTATCACAAGTAACAATTAGAGTGAATCAAAACGTCTTTGCTTTGGATGCTGTAGATGCACCTGTTTGCGTTAACTGTGTCAAATCCAAGGACTCACCAGTGGAGATTTATTTTGATAGTCTTCACTTGGAGTCTTGGTTGAGTTGATTTGTTGTTTCAATGTATGTTCATTCTTCTTTTTTTGGCCTTAGGGAACGCGTAGAAGTACCTGTGAGGGCAACATCTGAAAGACATCAATGGAAAACCATTTTAGTTATGAGGTTTGTCTTGATTTCCTTTAACATCAAACAGTGTGACGAGTCTTTGCAACACTTAAACTTAACGGCTTTCTGTTTTATCAGCTATGATTTTACACATATCACAGAGGATGAGACTATGCTGGGAGCAGGTCCCGTTTCACCTACATCTTCAGTTCTCATCCAACTTCCTTCTTCATTCATTCTAGGGCAGTGACATGTCCACTGAGGACAATGACTTGGCCTTTCCCTCTCCAGTGAGACTGTGAGTCCTTACTATCATTTCCTTACTTTCACACTCTGCTTCAGCAGTACTTTACACTTTAATGTACATTTACAATGTACTGCAGCCTCTGGTAAGATACAGGTATTATCTTTCACTGTGAATGTCACTCAGTGTTTCCAAGATGTGCACCACTCAAACGAGTCCCTCCCAATCAGGTGATTATATGACTTTGAGTCATGCAGAAGGGGTCACATGGTAATAGTGAACCCACAGAGAATCACTTCCCCAGAGCTCGATGGAGCATTTCAGCCCCTTTTGATTCGTGGTTTCAGTTTTATGAACATGTTTTTTAGCGTTTTCTTTTTAATTAAAAATGTCTGATCCCTTTCCACTGCTCAGTACTTAACAAAGTTGGTTCAGAAATTTGGCCCGAAATGCACATTTAAATGAAAGCTCAAGTGTCACCCGAGAGTGTAAACGGCTGTTGACAGTCAATTGTTAATTGTTTTTCTGCTAAGACGTTCACCTTAATAACTTCAGTCAACATGTCAACATGTTTGCACTGACCTTAAGTGGCTCGAAATGAAATCAATAAATGCAGTTTGACATGATATTGAAATATTTAGTTTAACTTTTACATTATGTTTGGATATAATAATGTTTACATTATGTCAGCACAAGAGTATTATTTTTAAGGCAGTGTTTGGTAAATGGTAAGCATTCTCGAGAGCACAAAAAAAAGGGTCTAAAACCCGGATATCCAAGCAGTGAATGATGAGAAATACGTGAAGCAATCCTGCCCTCTTGTGGAAACAACAGAACAGAACTAACTAATAATTTTACAGCTAAGGAGTCCCTGATCAGCATAAATGGCCTGAGACCACCCCCTCGTCCCCTCCTTACCTGAAAACCATTTGCTACCAATAATCACATGCTTCAAAGTCTATTTAACTTCAAGACACAAATATTGAAGTGCATTTTCAAAAATGAATTCAAAATATCCTTTCTAAGCTGAGATTTTAGGGGATATATCGCTGAAAAGATGCTCATCGTTATTCTTCATTGGTTTTTCGGCTTCTCTCCCCCACCAGGACTCCACCGGACCAAAGCGTCATCTATGACGTGGAGGGGGGGGTGCAGGAACAGCAGGAAGAGGAGAATGACCCACTTGTGGGGGCCATCTACATCCCCAGCGATTCAGAGGGTGGGTTTCCCTCACAGGCCATGCAGCTGAACAAACATATGATGATCTGATGGGATATGATGCATTCTGTAAATTAAACTTTAACCTTAAACTTCTGCAGCAGTCAAAGGAAATATGCACATTAATTCAGTGGGGATGTTGATCCAGAAACATCATGTTAAAACACTCAATGGGAATATTTTACTGCTCAATAGATACTTACTTTGGGATATTTGAGTCAATTTTAAGTGCTGATAATACATCAACATTCACTACTTTGTCTTAAGTAGAAGATCTTACTACTTGTCCACATCCTTCTTGCAGCGTATCTAAACCGGAACACCAATGCGACCACGAGAGGGGACGCTCAGGTTAGTCGTTATTGTCCATATTTGTCTTCTTCACTGTAAATCATCTTTATCCAGGGGTGTGTTTACTGACCAGTCGCATTGCACTACCACAGGCCTATGTGGAGCTGAATGAGCTCCAGGGTAACATCTGGCAGGAGACTGGGCGCTGGGTGGGCTACGAGGAGAACTTTAACCCGGCAACCGGGAAATGGGGTCCTTCTCATGTCTCCCATCTCACTTTCAAGAGCTTGATCCAGCTCCGCAAGACCATGAGCACAGGTGCCTTTGGAGATCCTGATGAAACAGAAAGCTATTCATACAAAAATATACTGTACAGCTGTTTTCAGTTATTGATGAATATTAAAAGAAGCCCAAATGTACTCAGGTGCCGTCATCTTCGACCTGAATGCCAGCAGTCTATCTACCATAGCTGAGAAGGTGGCCGACGAGCTGCTGAACAAGGATGAGATCCGCGCCAGTGATCGCGACGACCTGCTGAGAGCTCTCCTTATGAGACGCAGGTAACCACCACAACCCAATATTCCTCTATTGCTTTGTACAAGATTAGAAATGTACAATTGTCTACAGCATACACTTAATCATTGTTTTATTTGTGCTTGCAGTCAGTCTGAGGAGCCTATGATTACTCCCTCAGGAGACATTCAGATGCAGACCTTTTCTGTGGCCAAGAAGGTATTTATTCAAACGGTTTTACCATTTAGCTGATCATCAATATCATATTCACTTATTGACATATCCTTATTCTTGCAGAGAGACACCTCTGACAACGTGGAGGCCTCAATTATCCTCTCAGGTACGTACATGTAATTCGGATACAGTTATGTGTCTTTACGTGCGGTTCTTGGAGCAGATATGGCTAAAAATTGTTCAATAGGTGTCCTGGACAGCCTGCAGAAACCTGTGACGGCCTTTGTGAGGCTAAGTGATTCCATGGTGATGGACTCCTCTCTGGAGTCTCCCATCCCTGTTCGCTTTGTCTTTGTGCTTGTCGGCCCCAGCCAGAGCGGGGTAGACTACAGTGAAAGCGGCCGTGCCATGGGTGCTCTGATGGCTGACTGGGTGAGAGAGAGAAGAGAGAGTAGTGGGAGATACAAAGAATTTGCCTTTTTTGTTTGGTGCAGGTGAGTAAAAAGCTATTTGCTCTCGCAGGTCTTTTGTCTGGAGGCTTTTTTGGCCCAGACTGAAAAAGATCTGACCAACGCCATCGCTGACTTCATGGACTGCAGCATTGTCATCCCCCCCACTGAGATCCAAGACAAGGCAATGCTTGAGCCAATCATCAATTTCCAGAAGAAGATGCTGCGTGACAGACTCCGTCCCAGCGACACCCGTCTTGCCTTTGGTGACAGGATCACAGGTCAGCATTGTTCTCAAAATGTCAGACTATGGTCCGAATTTTGAGATTATTAGCTGTAATATTGTTAGTTCTAGCACCTTTAAATTTTAATTTATTTATTTGTCCAGTTGAGAAACCTCCAGAGGAGCCACGTGAGGACCCCCTGGCCCGTACAGGCTATCCCTTCGGTGGGATGGTGAAGGACCTAAAGCGTCGTTACCGCCACTACATCAGCGACTACACAGATGCTCTGAACCCTCAGGTCCTCGCTGCCGTCATCTTCATCTACTTCGCTGCCCTCTCTCCGGCCATCACGTTTGGAGGGCTTCTGGGTAAAAGAGAGACCAAGATAGAAAGCTGTGTCGCTCGATTCTTGTGAAGCACTTAACTGATACAGTATTAATAATTCTCTCCGATATCTGACTCTAGCCGACAAAACTGAAAAATTGATGGGCGTGTCAGAGCTTATGGTCTCCACTAGTCTCCAGGGTGTCATCTTCTCTCTCATCGCCGCTCAGCCAGTCCTCGTCATCGGCTTCTCTGGACCGCTGCTGGTGTTCGAAGAAGCTTTTTACTCTGTGCGTATGGTTCCTGAAATCAATCTTTCACGGCTATTTATTTTTCTTCGTTATAATCTAGTTTGTTTTCTTCATCCCATACTAGTTCTGCAAGGCCCAGGGCATTGAGTACATTGTGGGCCGTATCTGGGTGGGGATGTGGCTGATAGTGATCGTGGTCATCATCGTGGCCGTGGAAGGCAGCTTCCTGGTCCGATTCATCTCCCGCTTCACTCAGGAAATCTTCTCCATCCTCATCTCTCTCATCTTCATCTATGAGACGTTCAATAAGCTCATCAAGGTTTCCTCACCTCACCCTCTTCCAACTTCATTTCACTGTGATCGCCTCATATGTCGTGTCTTGTTTTGCTTCCTCTGACTCATCATATCCTTTTGCTCAGATCTTCAAAGCCCACCCTCTGATTCTGAACTACGATCACCTGAACGACTCAACGGATAACCCCTTCCATCCGGTCATCCTAGAGCACACTGTGATCGATCACGATGGCAACATCACCTATCATGAGAAGGAGCTTGAAAGGGCCTACCCCAACACTGCCCTGCTCTCTATGTGCCTGATGTTTGGTTGCTTCTTTATTGCGTACTTCCTCCGTCATTTCAAGAATGGTCACTATTTCCCGGGCCCTGTAAGATCAACCTCATATTTCAGGAGATTGTGAAGTTTTGAAAAGATGCTGTAGGTTCTGACTTTGACCATCACGTTCCCTGCTCTCTCACTAGATCCGTCGTTTGATTGGAGACTTTGGTGTCCCCATAGCTATTTTCTTCATGATTGCTGTGGATATTAGCATTGCAGATGCCTACACCCAGGTAAGAGTTGTATTGTGGTCTTCTCAAATAAATTACTTTATGTGCAAAACTTTTTGCAGCAAAAGTATTGGCAATTGACAATATAGAAACGCAACTATTAAGATGACTTCTGTCACAGTGGAGCACTTTTAAGATGATTTTGAGCCATGTAGGTCAAGGGTGGTTGTTTCCATCTGGGTTTTTTATTTCAAAATATCTAAATTTCATGTTTCATTTTTAGCAAAATTTGAAAGATTGTAACAAAAATACCTTTTTTAACTCAAGTTCATGATGTACTCATATACTGTAGATGTTTAGGACACTTTCTCGACCCGAAGAACCAACCTGTGAAAACTAAAGTTTATGTCCCTGGTTACAATCTTAAAATGATGTCCCCTAGAAATGTGACAACACTCAAACTACATTTTTTTTACATTACATTACAGGTCATTTAGCTGACGCTTTTATCCAAAGCAACTTACATTACACTTTAAACCCATGGCTTTATCACATTTTGCCTGAGGAGCAATTAGGGGTTAGGTGTCTTGCTCAGGGGCACTTCAACTTGAGACATGGGGCAGCCAGGACTCGAACCACGAACCTTGCGGTTCCTGGCGCACCCGCTCTACCCCCTGCACCACAACGACCCTACCACTCCTACGTTGATAAAATAGTTTAACAAAGGCATCCTCTCCTATGGTAGAAACTGGTTGTGCCGAAAGGTATTGAGGTGACCGACCCTAAAATCCGAGGCTGGTTCATCAACCCCTTGGGAGAGAAGAAGCCATTCCCCATCTGGATGATGGCCGCCTGCTGTGTACCAGCAGTGCTAGTCTTCATCCTCATCTTCCTGGAATCCCAGATTACCACGTGAGTGACACAGGGAATGATGGCCGTCAGTCAGCCACTCCATTTGAAGCTAATCGTTCCTGTTGTGTCCGATTGTCAGGCTGATTGTGAGCAAACCTGAAAGGAAGATGGTGAAGGGATCCGGTTTTCACTTCGATCTGCTCCTCCTGGTCACCATGGGGGGGCTCTCCTCCATATTTGGGGTGCCCTGGCTGAGTGCTGCCACCGTGCGATCCGTCACCCACGCCAATGCTCTCACTGTCATGACCAAGGGACCAAAACCAGAGATTGAGAAGGTGCTGGAGCAGAGAATCAGTGGCTTCCTTGTGGCCATCCTGGTTGGTAGGTGCTGCCATCTACAGTGCGGGTGTAAAAACAGCAGGCTAAGTTGAAACGGGCGTTTTCCTTTGACAATCATTCACTTTCTGTGATTTTCAGGTGTGTCTATTTTCATGGAGCCTATTCTGAAGATGATTCCTATGACCGCCTTGTTCGGCATCTTCCTCTACATGGGTATCACCTCCTTGAGTGGAATACAGATGTGGGACAGGATGCTTCTGCTGATCACCCCAAAGAAATACCATCCAGATGAAGCCTACGCCACCAGGGTATGTTCAATAGTTTGAATATTAAGCTTACAATGTTACATGTTTGTAGTTTGAGTTTTTTTGAGTTTTTTCCCCCGCTGTTAACGCTCTCCTCTGCTCTCATATGTGCAGGTAAAGACACTCCGAATGCATCTCTTCACACTCATCCAGATTGTGTGCCTGGGTGTTTTGTGGGTGGTAAAGATTAGTCCCTTCTCCCTGGCGCTGCCTTTCGTTCTCATCCTCACCATCCCTCTGCGCATGTTCATGACCGGCACGCTCTTCTCTGCCGCAGAAATGAAATGCGTAAGTACCTCCATGCATCAATTATAATAATCTCAGGCACACACACGTCAGGTTGTTTGAGGTGTAGGGTTTACTGTTAACGGGGTGTGTGGTTGTGTTACAGCTGGACGCGGATGATGGCAAAGTGACATTTGAGGAGGAACCGGGGGTAGATGTGTACGATGAGTCCCCACTGCCATAAACAACACCGTATCATTAATGTTTCATTCACAGTGGAACTTTTAAATGCACTTAATGCTTGACTAACAGCAATTATATGAAATATCAGGTGCCTTTATCAATATGTATTCATTAACAATTAGAGTTTAAAACTTTTAGGTTTTGTTATTATTGTTTATCTCTAAAAGAAAATACCTGTCATTTTGGGAATTTATATATTGAGCATAAATAGCTATAGTTATCTTATGAGCCAGGGAGAAAACATTTGATGAATTTTTATGGCAAGTATTTTCATTTAAGACCTGAGGTAAATTGATTTATAGTATCCTTTTTCTTTTAGTATTTACAGTATAGCTTTAATGTGACTACAAGTACTGCTCATGTTACAATTCCACCTAAATTTAGGTGGACTTAGTAAAGTCTGAACTATTCACACTCTACACAATACACACACACACACGTGAATCTCAAGATTGTAAACCTTCCGTTGTCCCAAATAGTAACCAAAAACGTTTTAAATTGTGTTACTTGAGTTTGTCTTATTTTATGTATTAGATGTGTATGGAAGCATGTGTAATGCACTTAGACCTATGTGTGTAATTGCTTTCAGTTATAGGAAGATAATTGATGACGACGTATAATCGTTTGAGCTCGCTGTTCTGAGGATATAATCAGGGATAAATGTATGTTATTATGCTCATGCGTTTGTGTGTTTAAGACACTGTACATGCTTGTTTGGATTGGATGAATTTTCATTTTATTAAAAATAAAAAAAACCATCAAGGGCTTTATTTTATTAACACATATGGAAATGCGATAGTTCACCTCACTTAAAGCCCACTTGTATCAGTCCAGCCTTTCAACTAACAGGAGTGGGGTGTTCAGCAAGAAGCCTGCCCTCCCAGTTAGAATAGTTATTTTATTTCTATGGGCCTGCCACTCAGCTACATGCTGCATTCAAGTTTGTCAAGTAAACTCCAACTTCTTGATACTTCTACTTGAAGAACCCCATTGACATGGCTGCAAAGATTTGTATCCTGAAATAAGAAATTATTCCTAATGACAAGTTCAGTTTTTCTAATTGTATTTTATTTGAATTAGATTAAGTCAAGGTACAATTAAAAGAAATTAAGTGATTATTGAATCAGAAAATCCAAAGTTCCCAATACAACATAAAAAAAGTTTAAACAATACATAAATATGTAAAAAAAAATAATACATCATGATTCGGTTTGAGCAGTTTCTATTTATCACTACAAAATTTCATAAAACAATCTTGACCTGTCAAGACAAGCACATTGTCATTGACTGTAGCTTTTATCTTGAAATACAAACGTAATTGAGAAACAACATTAACATTGGCGACTTTGGAAAAAGGAAGCTCACGGTTCAATAAACAATGAAAAAACAACAAACTGTGGTGTAAAATTACTTCCAACACAATATACATTTGTTTTTTTGTTTTATTCGCTAAAAGTATGCCACTATCACTTATTCTCTTGAAATGCTGCTAATAATTCCGATAGCAAGGGAACGCAGCACAGCACAACGCCGAGCGCCCGAGAGTCATTTGTTTTGCCTGAATCGGACGGACTGGATTGGACAGACGAGGGTTCCGCCCACAAACACACAAGGTGGAGTTGAAAGGAAACAACACGCGGCGCCTAAATGCAGCTGTCAAACAGCCGTAGCTCAGGATTCCCATTTAAATGTTGAAAATTACACGAATTGTGGCTACTTTGAAGACATTGGGGATGGTTATATTTGAAGTGGAAAATGTGACGTTCAAAAGTTGAAATATTATGAAAAATATATAAATATGTATTTTTATGTTATTCAAATTAAGTCATCCGTGTATGGGACGATGAGCTAGGTAGCACTAAATAAAACAACGAGTGGCATCCGAATGCCGGATTTCATAAAAACTTTCGTAATAAAAAAAAGAGGAAAAAGTGCGCAAACTTGGGCTGAAGATCAGACGTGGGTCGGTCTAACGTGCAGGAGTGAAAAACAAATGGCCCTCGGTTCGGTTAAGAAACAGCGGCGCGAGGCTGGGAGGAAAAAATGGATGTCTCCGCGTAGCGAAATGGTTGGATGGAGAGAGAGGAGCTACTGCGCGTTGAGTGGAGGGAGACGGCGAGTGAGATGGAGGCGGGGGGGAAGGACCATCTCTGCGGGGACTGGAGCCCGGGACCGACGGCGCAGTGCTGGCTATCGTTCAACCCTCCCCTTCTTCCTCCACAACGACGCCGAGAGACTGGTAAGCCCGACAAACCCCCTCCCCCGCCGCTCGGCTTCATCCGCCGCGTGAGCGAACGAACGATCAAACAAACAAACACAATTCCGCGTCTTGACCCGCCAAATATACCCTTTAATGTGTTATTTTATTTACTTAAAAAAAAAGCGCCCCGGTCGGTAGCTTCTTTGTAGTAGCGAACCAAAACGACCGCCGCGGTGTGGTGTAGACGAAGGCAGCCATAGCCGGATTTCTTGTCCTCTACACCGGGAAAGAAACCGCGTAAACGACCCGGAGGTAACGTTAAATGTGGTATTTCCTCAAAATGCACTCTACGCGATAGTCTCGCACCGGTTCCCTCGACTATTTTGAGCTGTAAACCGGGGCGTTCGCGTGGGAGAATTAGCGGTGCTTTCCGCGCCGAGACCTCCATGCGGCAGTTGGCGGAACAGCCAGCCGCCTCTCTCGGTTAGCCATCAGGGATGTCGGTTTAATATCTCACCGTGCAGAGACTCGCCCTCTCTCTCCCCCTCTCTCTCTCGCGCGCCGAGTAGCCCAGAACCGCCGCGGAACGAGCTCGGAGAACCCGCCTTCTTGTTCTCGCTTTTTTGGATCGAGGCGAGGGGGGGACCCGCACTGCCCCGGCAACTAGCGCTAAGCTCCGTGTTTTTTTCCTGTGTTTGCAGTGCGCCATTGGACCTTGTCACGGTAGGTTTCCTCGTAGAGGCATGGCGGATCTGGAGCGTTTCGTCGCGCCACTGAAGCCACTCCGCCTCGGCTGTTAGCTATTAGCTCCGAGGGGAGCACGTTAACAAAGTGGGGTCACGTTGTTGTTTAGAATTTTTCTAGACGAAACCGGTACGCGACCGTTTAAAAAAAGGGGGCTCTTTCGCCAACGTTTGACCGTTAAAAATATTTTCCATGTCCTTCTTTCTTTCTGCGCCTCCGTGGGTCCTTTCGACCCACCAACGTAACGTCTGGCTCGGGCAGTTTCTTTGAGAAATGTTTTCTACGAAACTAATATTTTAACGATTTGCGAGTCCAAATTATAACCGTGAACTGTATATTGAATATATTGTATCGTAAAGCCCCACATGCCCTCGGGAAACCTTTTTCAAATTCTATTTTTTTTTAAAGTATGGCTCTTAATGTTACATTTAAGCTTAATTTAGCCCACCAAGTTGCCCTTGGTGGTAATGGCTCATTTCCCAAATGTGATTTTTCATCCAATTTTTCAAAAATGGATTAAATTCTCAAAAACCTGCTAATAAAAACGGCTGCGGGTGTATGTTAACGCAGTTCTTTAGCCTGGGGGGGGGAGAAATCGGTGGTTTTTGTGCGGCTAGGTGGCACCGCGGTGAGCGGTGGCCATCAAGGACACGATGAACAACGAGCAGCCGCCATCATGGGATCACAGCTCGGCTACGCCTCGCTGAAGAATGCGCTTCGTTTGTTCCATAACCTCGATTAAAAAGCCCGAACGAATCGTTCTGTGAAAACTCTCGAAACCCCATTTTATTATTAATTCCGAGCGAACAGTGTATATATTCCCCCCGCTCGAGTCTCGAGGAAAACATTTGACTAACAAGGGGGGGGTTTGCACCGCGGAGCTCGATCCGCGTCCATCGGTCACGAGGCGCTTCTTCCGAGTGGCGCACTTTGGCTCGCATCGCTTCCCGAGCCACCATTGACCCCCTTTTTTCCTCGGGAGACGACGACGACTCGGGGAAAAAACAAGATTTTCTCCCCCCCACTCTCGTCCCGCGGTCAGCTGGTCGCCTACAGCTGCCCGTCCGCTCCACGTTCCGTTCGCTTCCTCCTTCCGTGGATCCTCCCTCCCTCGAAAAGACCTCCTGCTCCCGACGGCGAGAAGCCTCCATTACCGAGCCGGGGCTGAGAAAATGGTCGCTTCCCGTTCGGGTTCGCGGTACTTTGGCTTCGTGGGCTAAAAAAAGAGATGCGTTTGAAAAAAATGCGCTGGAAACGTCCCTCTGCGGAGAGTCCCGCTGCCAGTTGCGCCAGCCGAAGCCCTTCCGCGGTGTTATTTGAGATTTCGACGCCGTCACGAGCGATCGCCCGTGTCTCGCCATGCAGCGTGCACGCTGAAGGGGCGGTGTGATGCACATAAAGCATTATGTCGAGGCCGATTCTAATTCCACCACTCACAGTTGTACGCTTCATCGCTGCGACGCGCATTTATTGTGTACACGCGCCCATCCCGTGTTATCAACGCGTTCGTGGTTCGGAAACAACCCATTGTGGCCGTAGAAGTTGCGACATGCACAAATATGCGTTTATTTTTAGAGACTTTCGCAATATTTGTTTGTCTGTTTTTGATTTAATGTGTTTGATAACTTTTAATTTCGTCTCACTCGTTTTTATAGATACAACACAAAAAACGCAAACATGAATGGAGAAATGGAGGCGATCCCGCAAGACAAAGGTGGAATTTCGAAAATTCTTTACACCTCCACAATGACAACACACATGCTATTATAACAACTTTATGTTAAGCCTACATTTCAATAATGTATTTTGTAGGTCATTTTAGCAATTACAGGGATCACAACTGTTAAACCACACCTGGCTGCATGATTACAGAATATTACATTCATTAAAGTCACTGCATGAATAGGATTGGATAGCCTTTATTTGACACGATTTCATGTCCTCATTTTTGTGCCCTTTTTCGTTTATCACAGATTGGGCACAGGAGGACCTCTTGAAGCTGCTTGAGGCCATGAAGATGGCCCTCCCTCAGAAGGACAAGAGTAAATACAAAACATCAGAGTCTCACCTCGACTGGGAGAAGGTGGCCTTCAATTCCTTCACAGCAGACATGTGTAAGCAGAAGTGGCAGGAGGTGTCTAAAGAGGTGAGTTTGTTGTGGTTTGCGTTTGGGGGGGTTAAACAGAACAGTCTGTTGAGTCGGTTACACTCCGAATGCTCTGTCTCAAATTCTAATACTTGATTTTCTCTTTTGCCTTCGCCTCAGATTCGTAAATTCCGGACTCTGACTGAACTGATATTTGATGCCCAAGACTACATCAAGCACCCTTACAAGGGCAAAAAGTTAAATGTGAGTTGAACATCCTCAGTTAACAAACAATACGCACGTATGAAGGTCACTCTTTAATTTTCCCATTAAATATGTTTCCCCTACAGACACACCCCGATTTCCCCAAGAAGCCCTTGACTCCGTACTTCAGATTCTTTATGGAAAAGAGGGCCAAATACGCAAAGTTACACCCAGAGATGAGCAACTTAGACCTAACTAAAATCCTCTCCAAGAAGTACAGGGAGCTGCCCGACAAAAAGAAGGTCAGTTTAAAGGCACCTTCTGTGCTGCTAAAATATATATACGATATATTCATTTTTTTGGTTTCTAACAGAGACATTGTTTGCTTTTCATTCACTTTTTGTTTTCTTCCTTTTCCTGCATTCAGAAAAAGTATGTTGAAGACTTCTTACGAGACAAAGAAATGTTTGTGCACAGCATGACAAAGTTCAGGTAAGATGACGTGTTGGAATTCAGTATAGTTCTTATCGGCCTGCATCATATTCAAAGATTATAATTGTTCTTAACTGTTGTGTGATAGAGAACTGCACCCAGACCTGGTGGAGAGTATGGCCAACAAAGGTTCAAACATACCAGAGAAGCCCAAAACACCCCAACAGCTGTGGTTAAACCACGAAAAGAAGGCCGTCCTCAAGACACGCCCAGATGTAAGTTCAGACATTTACAACATGGCGCACAAAAGGCACAATTTCACAATGTGACCAGTGTTAAGGTCCCACCTTTTGGCCCCAGGCGACCTCCAAAGACATTAAGGAAATTCTCGGCAAACAGTGGACGCAGCTGTCTGACAAGAAGAGACTCAAATGGATCGCCAAGTCTCTGGAGCAGCAGAAACTGTACCAGGTAGGACCGCCGACCCGGGTGTTTAACAGGCTGTTATGGCAGCATTTCTGATGGTCCCGCGATGTTTACGGCTTCCGTTTTGTGTTCGTGGTGTTCTAGGGGACTATGCGGGAGTACATCCAGCAGCACCCGGAGTTGAACATGACCCAAGAGGCTTTCGTCAAGTCCACCCTGACGAAGGCCGAGCGGCACCTGAAAGACAAATCGGACGGCCGACCCGACAAACCACCTCCGTGAGTCACAGCGGCAGACACGCGGACGCACCTGCATGGCGACCGGAGCGAGTTCTTTTAACATAAAGTGCTTGTGCTCTCAGGAACGGTTACTCGATGTTCTGTGCGGAGTTGATGTCGAGCATGAAGGATGTTCCCAGCACTCAGCGCATGGTGATGTGCAGCCAGCGGTGGAAGCTGCTGAAACAGTGCGAGAAGGACGCTTACCAGAAGCGCTGTGAACAGGTACCATCAACTGGGATCACTATTCTTTTTTTTTCTTTCTTTTTTAATGGAAAATATACCTTTTTGTGTTAAATATTTACATGTTTTTTTATTTTAATTTTTTTTAGAGGAAAAAGGATTTTGAAATCGACATGAACAGATTCCTCAGTGTAAGTCTAATTACAGGTTGCTACATCAAACTTGATTGTCAATGTCTTTGTTTGCATGCTATAAGAGTGTTTTCTCTGCTATATGGATCTCTAGAGTTTGACAGAGGAGGAGCAAAACCGGGTTTTGTCGGAGGACAAATTAGGTTTTAAGCGGGGCGGAGCCAACAGCCCAGCCGCCAAAAAGAAGGCCTCTAAAGCAGCGGTAAGACCACTTTCACCGTCTTCATGTTTGGTCAGGCACAAAATCAATTGACAAATATACCTTTGTTTTAGATTTTTGTTCACTGGTTTGATCACAACGATACCAATTCTGCCAAATAAAGTTGACTAGCATGTTACGCTCAAGACACATTCACAAAATGTTAATTGTTAATACTATTAAAAGTCAAATATTCGTATGTATCAGTTCATTTTGTGGTCCGTTCTGATCTTCCCTGTCTGCTCAACCCGTAGGCCAATCCAGAGAAACCTAAAAGGCCAATTTCAGCCATGTTCATCTTCTCTGAGGAAAGACGCCCAAAGCTGCAGCAGGAGCGACCGGACCTTTCCGACAGCGAGCTCACGCGCCTCCTCGCACGCATGTGGAATGAGCTGCCGGACAAGAAGAAGGTAACGTGGTGAAGGAATGCCAGGAGAATTGAGTAAACTAATGCCGACATGCTTCAATTCTCTTCTACCGTTCTACTGATCACGTCTTGGTCATTTAGGAGAAGTTTAAACGCATGGAAGCGATCCTGAAGGCCGAGACGGAGAAGAGGGAGGATCGCAGTCGTCTGCCGGACCCCCCCAAGACCGCGCAGGACATCTGGCAGCAGAGTGTCATCGGAGACTACCTGGCCAGATTTAAGGTATTCACCCTCGACTCTAGAGGGCCAAATGGTAGTTGTGATGTTACAATGGATTAAGTATACAGTACTGACAGCTGAACACATTGATATGGGTAGCTCTCCTTAGATGTGTTGGTGCCTGAACTCCAACAACGCTGTCTTTAGAATATGTAAATATGTATGCGTGTGTGACAAGACCTTTAGAAATGCGTTTTGTTCCAAGAAAAAGATTTGCATCTATGCTGATAAAGGTCCAAACTACCAAGATTCAGCACATTAAAAGTCAACAAATCTATGTATTTCCTCATCTCCATGCAGTCACAACAAGGTCCTGGGTGATGGATGATGAGTGAAGCTGCTATCAGTAATGAATTGTGGCTGTAAAAAGCCTGGAAACCACACAAAATACTCCTCACATGTGCATATCATTTGTCCTGGTGTTTTGTAGAGTGACCGAATAAAGGCGCAAAAAGCAATGGAAGCAACATGGAGCACCATGGAGAAAAAGGAGAAAATCATGTGGATCAAAAAGGCAGCAGAGGACCAGAAGAGATATGAGGTTAGTATCCTTTCCCCGACGATGTCCCAGAGAGCTCCACCCCACTTGTTGAGCAGTGGCGGCTAACACGCGTGTCCTCAACAGAGAGACCTGTGTGAGATGCGCTCGCCCGCTATCGTCTTCCCCTCCGGGAAGAAGATGAAGTTTGAGGGAGAACCCAAGAAGCCGCCGTCGTAAGTCTGCGCCACGTGTCCGCGCCGCCTGTTGCCTGGTGCGCGTTCTCTCGGAAACTCAGCGTTGTGGTTGTCCGCTTTGCTTTCGACCGTCTAGAAACGGATACCAGAAGTTTTCCCAGGAGATGCTGTCCAACGGGGAGCTGAACCACCACCCAATGAAAGCGCGCATGACCGAGATCGGCAGCCGCTGGCAGAGGCTGACGCAGAAGGAGAAGGACCGCTACAAGAAGATCGCCGAGGAGAAGCAGAGGCAGTACAAAGGCCAACTGGAGCAGTGGCTCGCTGTAAGTAGTGGTTGATTGACGGCGGGGGGATTTGTCAAGAGGTGTTTAGATGAACTAACGTGTGCTGTCCTTCCTCCGCAGAGTTTGACTTCGCAAGAGAGAAACGCTTACAAAGAATATAATTCACAAGTAAGTCAGTTGTTTCGGGGGTTCGGGAATAGCCGTGTGGCTTTGGTGTTAAGTTTGTCTTCTGTGTGACGTCGGTGTGTCTGACACCGTCTTGGCGTTTCAGAAACGGAGAACTACAGCGAAACCCGGAGGCCCCGCGGCAAAGGCCAAGAAATCTGTAAGCGCCGTCTCGCTCTCTCTCGTCTCCCAATTCCGCTCCAGTGATGTCATGTGGTGATGATGTCAGCTTACCTGAAAACCTCTTTCCTCAGGACACGGAGGAGGAGGACGACGACGAAGAGGAGGAGGAGGAGGAGCGGGAGAAGGCTTCCTCTGACGCAGACTCCTCCAGCGACGATGATGATGATGATGATGACGACGACGATGATGGTGACAACGTGAGTTGCGTCTTTGTTAAAACGAGGTGCCAGTGGCAAGAAGTGGGTGTCGACACTGCTAAACAAATGTATGTATTTTTAGAAGGAGGCGGAGGACGACGACGACGATGACGACGACGATGATGACGATGATGACGACGAAGCAGAGGACAAGGAGAACAAGTCCGAAGACAGCAGCAGCGACTCGAACTCCCAGGGGTCATCGGACTCCGACTCGGACTGAACCGGCCCGACGCCGGCGTGAGACGAACTGAGCAGCGCTGAGCCAAGAGTCGAGGGGAGCCTGTCCCTGTGCCAACCCCTGCTCCGCCCCCATCCCCCTCCCACCACCACCACCAGGGGGAGCCTCCGCAGCGCCTCATCCACTTCACACTTTACGTCGGTGATCTCACTCACGGAGGGGGACGCCGCCCCTCACGTCCAGAGTCCGCTTCCTTCCCTCCCCCGGTGCGATGGGTCTGCTCACCGCACAGGCCGCTGACGTTATGCCAAAAAACCCACATCCCACTGGTTTGGTGATGTCATGAACATTTCTGCTGCTGGTTTCAATCTTGACTTCCAGGTTCAATCCTTTACGGTTCGGGTTTTTAATGTTGAGGGGTTATCACCTGTCAGTGTTTTTTTTTATTTTATTCTTCTGGTAATTAGTTGAAGACGAGTGGCGCGAGATTTGTGAACAGGCTTCATGGAGCCAAAGAACATAGTGGATCTTATTAGGACCGAGGGAGGGGGGGGTGCAGGATACAGAAAAATTGCACTCTTTAGAATGTTTCCTTTTTTTTTGAGCGTTGTCACATTGTTCTGTCATCTAAATTTCTGATGTAGATTTTATTATTTGGTTCTTAACGAGGTGGTATTTTTTCAGGAAAAAAAAATCAAGCCATTATGAATGTTTTTTTTTTTTTTCTTTGTTGCTGGAAAACTTCTGAACTTGTTACTTACCCTTGTTCTCATTTAAAAGGTAACGGTGCCTATATAAAGTATTCACCCCCTCTTGGACTTTTTCATGTTTTATTGTTTTACCACATTGAGCTAAAGTGGATGCTTTGAAAGTCATTAACAGTTTGTTCTTTGCACTGCAGAGTTTAGGAAAGCTTTCAGAGTGTAGCCAACGTCAGTTGGAGAGGGACGAGCTAACGGACCCAGCAGAACAAGTCAATCTCTACAGAGATCTCAATGAAGTGCAAGTTTTAAGATAGCCCACTCCGTTACATAATGATTCACCCCTGAAATGTACAGCAAATGCCTCTTTGGCTGCAGTCGCGATCACGGCTGTGTGGATTTGTATTTTAACCTCTTTCTGAGGAATCGGCCCTATTGGGGTTAAGAGGGACCTCGCGTGTCATTTTTTATGAATTGGTCTTACCATCTTCTGTAGGCTGTTAAAACCCTCGTAAATGTTTTGTGTTTGGAAAACTTCTAGAAGTCAATACAGTTTTCAAACGATTATTTTAGGTTTACATCCGGACTTGGATAACTTTGAAGATTTTTTTAAATTTTTTTTTCTCGATTAAAGTTAGAAACACCTGACGGCTTAAGATGTGTGTCGGAAACAAAAAAACGTTTAATACTTTTTATAGGCGCTGTAGGAGCCAGTAGCATGTCCGCCATCGAGAAGTGTCATTAGTCCATTGGTGTGAATGGCAGAAAGAGACGGGATTTATTGAAGGGATCTCACTTGTTTTCCACTCGCAGATCTTAAAGAATACGTCGCACAGCTGGTGCATTTTTCTTCTCTGAACCGTTGCTCTGTTTTGTTTACAGCTTATTTTGAATTGTCATTAGGTTTTGTTTTAATTGTGACCAGTTGTGTTCTGATCCGTTTGGAATGATCTTTGTGGATCCTAAACTGAATGATTTCCATCAGTTTAATTATTTTGTCATGTTATTTACTGTATTCCATTTGGGTTTTTAGTCCGATGCTTAGTCCCAAAAACGTGTGCACTTAAATGTAAATCTGTCCCTCCTGTGAGTTTGTGTGCCGGCATGCACAGAGCTGTGTATAGACGAGGGTGTGAGTGTTTTGTTTCTTTGCTTTAACGTGTGCTGTTATCATTCTGTTGCATACCCTGACGTAACTGCAGTGTGCCTGCGTGGGGACGTCATACCAACACATGAATGTAGATATTGTTAAATCTTTACTTTTTATCTTCTTTTTCTCCCCCCCCCCAAAGGTCTTTTAGTAAGTTTTCTGCTCGGCGCTCAGCTTTCGCAGCTGTCATTTTGGGGGCACAGCCGGTAATAACCTGTGATTGATGGACGGAGTTTGGAACAGCGTTGGCTTTATACATATTTTAGGGGTAGAATACGAAAAGTGATGCTGATATTGATAGGTGTGAGTTTGTAAAGGGATTTGGGGAGCCGAGTTGCCAGATGAATCGGGGGTTGAAAACTTGTAATTTTTCTTGTAAATACTGTTTTGTTTATTTTTTGTATCGAGTGCTATCATTTTGTTAGTGCAGTTCATTTGGCAAACCTTCATCTGTGACTTCTGAGGCCAGTGAGTTTTTCCCCTCACAGGAGAGGTTTTTGATTTAATTCACTTGTTTTTAGTTGTTTCTTCACTCCCTTCCGTAGGTTTATAGAGATATCTGATTGCAAAGCTATACAAGTTTGTACTGCTGATCATTTGACAATTTGGTGTTTTCTATAGCTGAGGGTGTTATTATGTCCTTGTAGTTCAAGTCTTTGGGAAAATAAAATAAAAAAGATCTTTAACAGTTAGACTTCTGTGCTCCGTTGGAACCTCGTACCAGCAGGCAGGACGTCTGTCCGTGTTGTTCATGTGGTTCTCAATCAAGGCAATTAATACTACTACATCATAAAAATGGTTTGCTATAGAGGTGAAACTCATTTGTCAAGCAAAGAGGTCTTAAATTCACCCGTTCCATATTTTAGTGTTTTGCTGTTTTTTGTTTGATATTTATTGTTGGAATGGCTTTAGTTGGACAAAACAAGTCAGTTTCTTCTAGTTTCTAAAATAAATGTTAGGATTAGTACATTACATGTAATCGAGATGAGACAATAATGCAGCCTTATTGTGCCGCTGCATAACGCGTGAGTGGACGTGCATATACTTGTGGTGCACATTGTTTTTGCAGATGACGTCATTCAACTATTCAGGCGAAACTAAATGATCACAGATAATGAACGACAATCCCGTTCATCTATTAACGTCTAAAGTCAAAAGTGCGCGTTTCTAAACTGTCACTGACGCCGGTAGCTCCTTTATGTAGCTTCAAAATAAAATATGCCTTGAATATGTCACACATGTCCTAGCAACCACACCTTTTGTTGTGCTGGATTTTCTTGGCTGAATATGAATGGCTATAGAAATAATTTATATTAAACAGCTGTTAATGATCCGCCATGAAAGTGGTGACGGCTGGATTTCATTTTCAGATTAGGATTTTAAATGACATTTAAGATGAATTAATTACATGCTATAGTTACGTTAAAAATCCATGTGAAGCAGTTAAAATGAGCTGTGATGTTGAATGCTTCTTAAGCCTAGTTTATGCTTCTGCGTTTTCAGAGAGACGCAAAGACACGCAGACGCAAGAGCCCTTTGCGTGCCTTTTGACGCTCTAGTAATGACAGGCTTTTATTGTTAAGGCTCAAACCGGAAGTCGGCCGTGTTGTTGCGCAGAGTGCCGCTTCACCGTCGGCCTCCTCGGTGTCCAGCGGGCGTGCAGCAATAATTTAACCTGCGACAACAAATAATATAAACAGTGGACTTTTGAATCTGCCCTTGGCGATATTAAAGATGCATGTAGCGGACGCTTCTTATTAATCTATTTCTCACACGTGCTCACGGAGATGTTGCGCACCGCGGAAAAACTGCCTGTTTCAGGCTGAGTTTTCGGTATGACAAGGTAAGAGGAAACATTTTTTTCTTCTTCTTCTCTTTGTGAAATGAGATAACATCTCCAACGCTACATTGTATCCGAGTCAAGTGGCGCGGCTGGTTAGCGGGTGCTAACACTTAAAAGTAACGCTTTTAGTTGACGTTATAAACGGCGTTTTCGTTCAACTGCCCCGCGTGTAACGTCACCTGGTCTTTATTCCACTACGAGCGTTACTAACGTTAGCGACGCGACGCTTCGTGGGAGTCACGCGTCTCGGCTCGAGGCGACAACCCGCCGCGTCGAGACGCGCCCGCGGGGTTCAGCGTCAACGACCATTTGCGTTGCATCGGTTGACGTGTGACGTTAACTGGCGGCTCCCGTGTGAATCCCGTTGAACGTTAACGGGGGATATTGTCGCTGTGCGGGTTCGCGCTGCTTCATTTGATGCGGTGTCTGTTTACCTGACATGTTTCTTACAAAGAATAAAACCAATAGTTTAACGCTCAACGTATTATATACTGTATAATGTGCTGTGTGACGTAGAATAGTGTAGTATAGAATATCACTGCATACTATGTTATATTTTGTATTCTGTCTGTTCTGTGTTATGCTTTATTTATATGTTACATTCTATGTCGCACTCTTTATTTCACTTTTAAAATAACGTTTTTAATTAGTGATACACTAGATGAGTGGTTCTCAACTGGTCTGGCTCCGGGACCCACCATCACCCCTTAATGACAAGCCGCGACGCAAATCGAGGAACATTCTCAACTTCTCAAATGTATTTAATGAAAATATGGTGCCGTTTGAACCTGAGATAGTATGGAGGCAGTATACGTATGCCAACACAAAAACAAGCTTAATGAAAAAACAAAACAGCAAGCTGTTAATTCTAAATTGTATTTTCCCAGGCAAAGGCCCATTAAAACACCACCCGCCAGTTGAGAATCACTGCACTAGATAACTTCTAGTGTAATTCTCTATTAGTACAGACAAAGCCTAAGTGTCATTGCTTAACATATTAAAACCAGTATTGGTTTCATGTAAACATGTACATGTATTATACGCTGTTGCTATCAACTTTCCTTGCAACTTTACTACTCTAATGTAACTTAAATGCTGTTGTATAGTTTATTTCTCCCCTTCTGTCATGTGTACTTATTTCTGGCCTCGTGCTACAATGTACATGTTAAAAAAGTTGTATCTTTATCTAATTATTTAATTTATATGTATACATGTTTTCTTTCTCTTTTCAACAGAATGAAGAACAATTTGCAACAAGTATCGACATCTCTTTCAACAGTAAGTTATTTCATATCACTGTGATTGATGATGAGAATTGTGGGTTTTTTTTTAACCGTCTCCTCATGCTGATCGTCTCATGATTGTAATCCTCAGGTCAGCAACTCATTACCTTGCTGTCAAGATTTCCCATACAGATTTTCAAATGAAAATGGAGGATATGCCCCTGTCAGGCCCAGACAACACCAGGCTGGAGGTGTGTGCGTGTGTTTGTGTGTAAAAGTAATTTCCCCCCTTGATTTGGAAATATTGAATCAATAAATAAATAGAAACATTTGGAGTGTGACAAATATGCAAAGTAAGAAACCAGGAGGGGGACAAATACTTTCTCACGGCACAAACATCATTTGTAAATAAATGTTACTTTGAACTTTCACCCATAGACAGATTTCATGTCTTTCATCTGTCCATCCGGTTTGAATGTGTCTTTAAATGATCCCGTCACAGGCCTTGGTCCATGACATCTACTCTGAGCTGGTGGAAGATGCCTGTTTGGGCCTGTGTTTCGAGGTTCACCGTGCCGTGAAACAGGGCTGTTTCTTCTTGGATGAAACGGACCAAGAGAGCATGAAAGAGTTCGGTCAGTGCCGTGTCTTCCGGTTCCCTACCGGCCCAATTTTCGCCTTATTTTCTTCTGACAGCAGGTCCCTTTTGTTACTCTTCCAGAAATTGTGGATCAGCCGGGCGTTGACATATTTGGCCAGGTGTACAATCAGTGGAAGAACAAAGAGTGCGAGTGCCCGAACTGCAAGAGACTGATCGCAGCCTCTCGCTTTGCCCCACACTTGGAGAAGTGTCTGGGCATGGGCCGCAACAGCAGTCGCATCGCCAACCGCAGGTCAGTCGGCCGAGGTCATTCGGGACGGGTAGTTGAGTTGACACAAAATGCGAGATGATCAGATTGTTTGAATGTGGTTTTGGATCTATTAACAGGCTAGCCAGCAACAATAACATGAGCAAATCAGAGAGCGATCAGGAGGACAATGATGACCTCAATGATAACGACTGGTCGTACGGGGCGGAAAAAAAGGGTGAGCTTTTTCTAAAATAAAAAATAAAAAAGAAATGTCTAACTTGACTGTGCACTGGGAGAAAGATTAAGCACTACCTCATGTTCCTTTTTACATAATATACAAACTTATTATTTCCATGTTGCAGCCAAGAAAAGGAAGTCCGATAAGGTATTTTTGCATCCGTTTCCTCTTGCCGACGGTTTTCGAGTACTATGAACGTTTTATTCTGCATGATCATGAGGTCAAACTAACGTGAATGGTTTTCTTTGTGCAGAATCAAAATTCCCCGAGAAGATCCAAGTCTCTAAAACATAAAAATGGTGAGTATATCTGTTTTTTAGCGTCTGATGGATTGTGGAAGTGTTGGTCGATCCCCCTTTTGGTCCATTCACCCTTGCAGTTCGGGACTGTTTCCTCAGTCACAGGAAGTAGAATATGGACAAGTTCTACCTTTCTACATTTAATGATTCAGCATGAAAATGTCTGCACAAAGAAATGTTTGCTGAATTCACAAATTCTGAAAGTTTTAGAAGAATGGATTTGAATGCGAGTCATGGTGCACAGCGCTGTACCGTTTTATAACAAATTGTTTGATTATGAGGTGGAACAATGTGTTAAACAATTGGTCTAATTATTGGTTGCCATTGTTAAAATGAAAATTGTTGTTGAGTAAAAGCAATAGTTGGATTTCAACCTAAAAAAGAATATTTGTTGTATGTTGTATGTGTATATTTCATAGCTCAAGCTATTTTTCTGTTCACAATGGAGGAGTGAACATTATGCAATTAATGTCTCGCCTTGAAGGCCAATGTTGACGTGGATCAGCAGTTACTTCTCTATTTTGTGTCCAGGTGAGCTCGGGAGCAGCGTCGGTTCGGAGCCTTACAAGGTGACCGGTCTTCTGCCCCAAAGCCTTTTTCTTCTCTAGTGTCTGTTGTTGCAGAGTTTTGATCGTTTTATCTTTTGTCTGTCTTTTCTTTTCAGTACAATTACAATCCCGGCATCAGTTATGAGACTTTAGGCCCCGATGAGGTCAGATCCCTTTTAACGACGGTGCGTAGCCTGAAGGAATATCTTCTACATTTCCTCCTGTTTCTACCGCTGTTTTATTTTTTTTTGATGAAACAGATGTGGATCATTGAAGTTGTGTTTTATCTTCTACAGCAATGCGGGGTGATCTCTGAGCACACAAAGAAGATGTGTACCAGGTAATTACTGTGCAGTCCACTGGCTCATAGACAAACTAGTGTTGACAAATGTCCAATCTGGGAAGACGGTTAACTGCGGCCCAACGTTATTTAATCCAACCACCTTTCTTTCGTCTGATCATGAGAATTACTATTTACGTTGGGACCCACTCAGGGGTACACAGGTGGCAACATCTTCCTGGAGCAGTTGCTCCATTTCCCCCCCCCTCCCCAATAAGATCAAACTCCAATGACAGACGACAAGATGTTTAATTAAAAAGACCACAAAGGAGCCTGTCAGTGACCAACCTCTACAAACAACCCTTCAACACCCCTCTGCTGCTCCGCCCCGTCTGATTGGTCACTGGACGTGTCCCCTCCCACCTCCCTGCCGGCAGGGTGAAGCGCTGTGTCGGCCGTGTATAATGCCACCTTGTGTACCACCAGGTCTCAGCGATGCCCCCAGCATACGGACGAGCAGAGGAGGGCCGTCAGGGTGTTCCTCCTGGGGCCGTCCGCGTGAGTGTGTAATTACGTTTGAATGAGTGTTTATGGCGCAGCTGCCAAGCTGGTACAGTGTGAGGGGATTTTTTTTGGACGCAGGTGCTCGAGATGCGGGCAGAACGACGCCGCCGGTCGGGGGGGGGGGGTTGTGAGCGCTCGGTACAATGGCGCCTTGTCTGCAGCCAGCGGCCTTCTAGCGTTAAGACGCCACCAGGGTTTTCATTAGAGGTGTCTGCCTGCATCGACCACTGTGTGATCGGATGAGTCCAGCACTCCCTTGGCTGACTTCCTGTTTAGACACAGGCATTGTGTCTAAAGGCATTGTAAAAACCTTCTTGCCCGGGGCGGGCAATCGGCTCCATTTCAACAGATGAGACATTTCCTAGTATTGTGCTGTGTGCTGACATGCTACGTAGCGACACGACAAGGCTTTGCTGACCGGGTTGTGAGTGAGCTGTCCGTAACAAACCCGCAGGAAAAGCCGCTCTGACGCTTTAGGCATCCGAAATATTTACAGAGTAATTGGACTGGGACAGACACAGAGGTGCACACTCCCTCAATGAACGGAAGATGACAAGAGGCGAAACCAGATAATAATCTCAATAGCTGGATTAAAAGAAAACGCATGAACCGATGTGCTGAAAGTGACAAATCTCCTCTGGATTGTTCTCTTCGTAAGGAGAGCACAGAAAGCCAAAAAGAGCAATGTAACCAAATGCTTCTTAGGATTTTCCCATATTTTGAAGATTTCTTTTTATTTCTTTGGTTCAATATAAAGGGTTTCTATATTACCATTCAAAATTGGACGAGATAAGAAATTCAAGTAGGTGAAGAGCTTTTGTAGGTGAAGAGCTTTTGTTAATAACTGACCGTCCAATAAAAAAATAACTGGCTGCTGTCATTGACACTAAAGCTCTAAAGATATTCCATCTAACCAGTCAGTACCCGTGTCTGGTTCTGGTGAAACAGGCCGTCCCTCCCCGATGGAGACCCTGTGGGGGAGAGCAACATCTTTGACATTCCAGATGGACAGACCCTGATGGGCCGCCTGCAATGGGAGGACTCCCCTGATATCTCACCCACTGACTCCGCCTCGTCCAAAGCCAGTAAGGAAGTGACATCACAATGCAAGTGCCTTTTGATAAAAACGTGCACAGTTGAGGTTTTTTTTTGTACCTATCACAGGCACCAACCATTCCGATTCCAGGAGGCCCAAGAAAAAGAAGACACCCTCTCTTGGTTTGAACAGTGGAGGAGGAGGAGGTGGAGGAGGAGGAGGAGGAGGGAGTCTGTCGGGAGGCAGCAGCAGCTCTCAGAGTAATATCAGCTTACCAACCAAAAAAAAGAGGCCCAAGCTGTCCGCGCCTTCCATCACCAGCATCTACGATGACTTAAACTAGCAGCGTGAGCAGCTCCCGCCTCCTCCGCTCAGACCAAAATAGTCTGGATGTGATGCAGCTCGATTCAGTAGTTCTAGTTCATTCAGCCTCGTCAAGTGAGAACATCTATGGGACACTCGTGTAGTGGGAACACGGCCTTTTAACGTGGCTTTGTGGGAAAATCCCACGGTGAAGCGGGCGTAACCGCACCAAGTTTGTGGACTAACGGAAGGCCTCCAACTGCGGCTCAGATGGTCTTTGCGCCGCCTCTGAAGTCCCAAGTATATATGACTTCATATTGTCCAGGCGGGTATTTAAATTCATGCTGGGTTAATGTGCACACATGAGCTTTCCATGTATATGTGTAGTAGTTGAACAGGTGGAGTTTCAGTTTGTCTCTGAGGTGTTGGAAGCAGCTTCCAAAGAAGAAGGCGCCTTTCTGGCAACGGCCAGAGTCAAAATGTCGTCCACTTCTCTGAGGTTTTGTACAGAATCCCCCATAACATATAAATTCCTGATGACTACTTATTTAAAGTTGCTGGCCTATTTTGTTTTAGTTTTGCCGCCCCTGTATGTGCTGTGACACGTGTCCTTCCTTTGCCCATACAACTCTTGAGGAGACTCCAGCTGTTTAAAAACATCAGTTGCTTGGGAAGTTTAGCATTGTATTGCACAGTTTTGTGTGTGTGTGTGTGTGTGTGTGTGTGTGTGTTCATGGAACTATGCATCCTAGAATGTGATACTAGTGAAAGCGTGTGTGCCATCCAACATTTTTTTCACTTTTTTTTTGTCTATTTTAGGTGTGTGTGTGTTTAATAGGCAGGTTTTGATGTTTGACGAGCCAGTAGGCTTTGGGCACATGTACAGTGTGTGTGTGTGTGAGAGTGTGTGTGTGACGACGCGTGAGATGGAAACGTAATTATGGATCCAACATAACTTTCTGTCCTCGGTACCAAACTTGTCTTGTGTATTTTGACTTTCTTTCTGCTTCTAGATCACACGTTACTCATTAGTGCTTGAGCTGTGCTCGTGAAGGATGCGCCTGTGAGCGTATGTATTGTCTTCGTTAAGGTTGTGAGATATATTTACATGCTTTAGAGGTCAGACGCACTATTTTGCTGATCCTGTACTTGTTGATTTTTCCTCTTTTTAAACTCATACTTTACAGTTTCAGTTGTTATTGTCAAGTACGCAGGTGTTGTTTTGTGTTTTAAGAAATCAGGACGAAATAAATGTAAAACTTGTGGACTGTATGAAAAAGGCAGGGCGGGTATAGCTGCCGGTGTACTCCATCAGAAAAGCTGGTTTAACAATCAAATCGCCGTGGATCATCATCATCACCTTATTTTTATTTTTTATTTTTTTTAGGTGTCACAGTTTCTGCTAATTCATTTGAAAGTCTGACAACCCGTCATTGGTGATTGGTCAGCTGTGCAGAGGCGAGAAAGGACCCGACCTTCCGTCCCTCAATCACTTTCAGCTTTTGTAACTTTTAATGTACCAACGTGTCCCTCTGGAGCAAAACCTGGTCCAAGGGTTGGTTTTCTTCTGAAATTGTAGATAATCTGAAATTTCCCTAATTATATTTAATTCTCTCCTCGTGGGATTTATTTACATAAATACATTTATGCAATCTTTCATTGGGTAATACATCTCTGTAACACGTATTATACACGTATTACGCTTTTTTACCCATTTGGTGGCTGAAAACAGAGTTGTTTCAATGTTTAATTTCTATGTATTTAGAGACGGGTGTCTTGTTATTCTAACTTAAGGGGAGGGTTCAACTGAAATCTGAATAATGGCTGTAAAATCATATAAAATGGCTTTAATATAAAGATTCAAACTCCCACCCAGATCATTTTTGTACCGTCCCCTTCAGTCAAGTTGTGAACAAATGAGTGGGACCTCGATTGGATTCCAGTACTGAACTTTGACCTCTGTTTCCGTGACGGTCGGTCGTGACTCTGACTGCCCTTTTTAATCTTTTCCAGTAAAGTCTTGTGATGTGCACTAATGATACATGAACTGTAATTGAGAAACTCTGGTAGGTGTCATTTAGATTCTCGAGCCACTCTTCGTCGATGAAGCTGACCGCTGATGTTCTCTTGTGGCTCTTTGTGTATTTGTGTGCAGTACGAGTGCAATAACCAAGAAAGCAATGTTGTGAGTTTCCGATATTTGTTTATGCACCAACTTGTGCGTGTGTGACCTTTCTCCACTGCCATGCATACTGGTGTTTGTATATAAATAAACACAAACTCTAGCCACAGGCTCACTTCTTCAGGCCACAAGCAGACACTGGAAGCGGTTTGGTTTGAAATGCTTTAATTTGAGACATCACTGAAGCCAGAGCAGTCCAGCATCATCAGGAGGGGGTTCCCCTTCCAAATCTTTAAGTGCCAGATGCAGGTTCATCTGATTCATTTTATTTACAGAAAATACACAATGTATTTACAATATATTCTCAAACTGTCTATTTTCATGTCTAGTGATTATTTAAATTAGCCTATTTCTACAAAGCAACAGTTTTTGAAACGAGGCCTCTGTACAGTCCACATTCGCTGACACAGAGCTTGAGTCATTCACATACACTAAATAATGGTACTTTAAACACACCTCACAACAGTGAGGGGTTCCAAAATATTTGAGATTCTGGCATCTATAAAATTAATTATAGTTTTGGCCTAAAAAAACAAAAACAAAGCCGAACACATCATGAATCTTTTGCGACGATAAAAGAGCAGCCGAGTGTTTGAACGCAGTGTTTACCGGTAGGAGACAAAGTGTAGTTTGATACCAGCTAAACGTTTACTTACTTGAGATTATTACCAACTCAACATAAACTGTACAATCCATCATCTTGTTGGTGCATCCAGTCGGCCCAGAGAACCTGTTCCAGTCAGTCCGTCTGTCTCTCCAGGCGGCACGAATCTTTTTTTTTTTTTTCTCTCTCAGCGGCTGTGCATCCCGAATATCAGGAAGCTGAAGAACACAGTGACCCCCACCAGCGAGATCGTCGCCGGGGCGGTGAAGAACTGCCGGTAGTTGATGCGGAAGTACCACACCACGGCCAGAATCACCACGAACACGGGCACCACCAGGCTGCTGGTGCTGATGGCCACGCCGGCCGCCCTCAACCCCCCCGAGACCCCGGCGCCGGGCTGAGCCCCTTCCTCTGGCGTGGTCTCGTGCAGGGCCTGGGAGACGTGGCAGTGGATCACGCTGTTCTGCGTGATGTTCAGGGAGACGAGCGTCTTCTTGGGATCCTGCAGCAACTGGCCTTGGTAGATGAGTTTGATCTGATGCTCCCGGCCTGAGAAGTATTTACTGGAGAACCAGAGGGGCGACAAAGAGAGACAGTCGGTAGGGTGCATATTAAAAGGGGTGGCGTGGCATTTTGGGGGGTTTATTAGTTAGATGAGTGCATCAAGGCATGTCTGCATGTTAGCTTAGGTTAGCATAGCATAAAGAATTGAAGCAAGGGGGCAACTAGCCCCTCCAAAAGTGACAAAAATGTAGGCAGATGTTGGCAGACGAGTTAACACGTGTTCTCTTGTGTCATTTTTACGAATAATTGTGGAGAGGATATGTGCTTGATTATTTCTCGGACCTCAAAGACGCGAATGTGGTGACTTATGTTTTCATCAAACGGTCTGCCAAAAGATAAGAGGCCTGCACCCACAAGTGTCAAGCTATTCCTTCTTCGGGTGGATGTTCGGGGTCGTTTTACCTTTTCAGTACTCCCACTGTGTCCTGTGGCTCTACGACCGCTACCTCCTCCGTGTCGTTTAAATACTTCAGACGGACGGAGATGGAGCGGTCGGTGGTGGGCGAGATGATGCTGGACAACACAGGGATATGCTTCAGAATCTTTTTATCTTCCACCCCCAGCTCCTCCTCATCCTCCTCCTCTTCTTCTTCATCCTCGTCCTCATCCTCCTCGTCATCTGAAGTGTGCAATCTTCCAACCTGTGGCGGTTTGCTCTGTATGTCCAGCAGGAGATCAGTCCTAACACCCTCGGTTGCCTCCCCGGGCGCCTCCCCCTCTCCCCTCTCGGGCCCCGGCTCGCCGTCGTCCGGCTTGTTCTCCTGAGGAGGCGGGGGAGCCTGCTGTTCCGGGCTGTCGGCGCCGGGCGAGCCGGCGCTGTAGCCGTCGTGGCCTCCGAGTCCGATCAGGGAGGCGTGAGCGCCCACGGTGAGGATGGTGCCCAGTATGTGGTCCCCGCGGTCGGCCACGTGGGTCGAGAGCCAAGCGAAGACGAGAGCCAGGACCAGGAGCAGCACACCGCCGGCCGCCGTCGCCTCCTCCGCCATCCCGTCCAGCATGGTCAGTGCACACACTGCCATCCCGCTGCTCCAAACCTGAAGGAGAGGGGCGACACCGGTTTGTCTTTATAGCCCTCAACCACAGATTGGCCTCGAAGAGGTTTAAAATGTAAGCAAAACGAGGCAGGACATTGAAAGTTATTCCAATCGAATTCAACTCATAAGATAGCAACATATCAACTATTCATTTTATTGGAATAAATGGGTTTGGGGTATTATTACCCCTCTATACATTAGTTATTTTCCTAATGTAATGTATTACTTTAAACAATGAAAACACCCAGTAGCACCGCAGTGTTACCATAGTTGTATTTGACCATTGTGGCCAATGTTATTGTTGAGTGTTTTTATAAACAGTCAGTTGAATTTAATGCATCTTGATATTATAAGAAGGCTACAACTAATTATGGTTTCATTTGCGTCTACAAACTACAAGACAAAGGTCCACAATTACCTATTTTATTCAACCAACAAGATAGTTTACCAAAATATAAATGAAGAAAACTACTATTTAGGAATCGGGATCAGGAAACATTTATTTAATGATTAGTAATTGATACTATTGTAATAGTTATATATATTATATATATATATATATATAATGCATCTTTATAACCGTGTGTGTGTGTGTGTGTGTGTGTGTGTATAACGTTGTATATAAGCGGATGTAAAGATATTAAATCCCACCGATCACCTGGAATAATGACAGCAGAACACGTTAGTTCCTGTTTCTGTCTTTGAAGGAAAATGCAAGTAACTGATTGCTAAATGTATCACAAACACACCTTCCGACATCACATCGCTGAATCGAGTCCCTGCGCAGACAGACAAAGCTTCTTTAACCAAGACGCCCGTCACTCTGGCTCCTTGACATAAAGGCACCAAAGTGAAACCACTGCTTCGTAACTCACTAGTTAACTTACACGTTACACGTCTGGAGCTCCCGGCTGGCGGCTGTCTACCCGTCTAACGAGGCACCGCCGTGTGTCAAAGTGCTCGAGTACTTTATCTGAGGCGGAGTTACTCGCAGCGTAACGTTGGACCCGAGACTTCGGGGCTGCTCAACAGCTGTTTGTCGCGGCTCTGGAGAAATGTCCAAACACAGCCAGCTGTTAAGAGGACGTGCCGGCGGGGACTTCTTAAGACACGTCGGTCTCACAATTCACTTAGTGTCTCCTCCTCAGCCCGTGCCGCTGACTTGCTGTGCTGTACTTGAAGTTGCTAGTTTGCGAGCTAAGTTAGCTCCCCGGCTAGCATGCCATGCTAGCTCATAAAAACGACCTTCGGCTGTTTTGCGACTCCCGTCGAGCGGTTTTGTTTTTTGTCGCGATGGTTTTAGAGGTGGATACGGATGTCGTGTAAACGTATTTGTTGCATCGATATCAAACGGATCCTTACCTGCCAGCTAAATAAATCAGAGCATGTTTGAAGACGAGGATCAATGCTAGCGAGCAGCTACTGCCGAAAAAAACCCCACACATAATAAACACAGAGAGCCGACGAGACGGCGTGACGTCATGGACGGGCAACAGGGAGCGCTTGTTTTGGAGACGGTTCACGCCTGTTGCTGCTCTCCGTCATACAACAGCTGTGCAGATAATAGAATACTAGTGTTTATCGACTGTGGAATATTTATCCACTAGGTTTGGAGACGTAGTCACATTTAAATCTACGTAAGTTCTGTACTACGAGGAGGATTTTGGTGTCACTTTGAAAAGCGTGATTCACTATTTGCTGAATTTGTACAAACCAAACCGTCTATTAATTGAGAAATAATCATATTAGACTTAATAGAGAAAACATTTGCATCACCCCATCCAACTGCAAAATGTGGAACTAAAATGAAATTGTGGTTTTACATTAATACATAAGTAATAATCATCAGCAGTCACAGGTCAACAGGTGGGACTAGTTTTACTTTAAATACATTTTCTTGATTATACTACATCTCAATTCAGGGCTTTAACTTGTGAAAGTGCATTTTCCCAATCTAATATTAGACCTTTTCCTCAGGCAACAGATCAGAATACTTGAAAGTGTTTATTATCTGAACACAGCACACAGCAGTTATACATTCTGTACATTAAGTCTGTGAATGACCTTTAACCCCATTTTGAACAGTGTCTGAAAAAGTAGTCACGTATTTTGATAAAGTCAGAGAAACAATGTGACTAAGAATGAATTAGTCAACTCTGTATGACAGATTGGCCCATGCAAGTGTTATTATTGTTATTATCATATAACATTGGATTTTTCTTAATGTGTAAGCAGCAATTTAATTTAATTGTATTATTCATTCTATATTATTTAATCGGAACATTGTACAAATTTTGTTATTGTATTTCAAATCTTAATCGGGTATGTAAAAAGTTACTATTGCTGTAAAATAAATATAGTGCAGCAAAAAAGTACAATATTCTTCTTTAAATCTAACTAAAGTAGCATATATTGATGGTAGTTGGAGTAATTGCTGTAGTATCATTTTTCACTATGAATAACGTCCTGTATGATTATTTTTGACTGCTCCTTGATTTGTTTGTATGCAATGTTTCTGAAATTAGGGTTAACCTTGCAAAACAATAAAATAAAAAACTTAAAGTAAATAAATCATATCATAAGTTGTATTAATGGATAATTTCATAAAGATCCTCTGAATTTATTTCCACTTGACAAAACCAGTGTCAGTTTCATCAAAAATAAACAAAAGTTTCCAGCAGAGCAGAAGTCTTCCCCGCAGTGTGACGTCACAGGAGAGTCCCGTCGTTTCTCAGCAGCAGGTAATCCCTCGTGGACCGGGGGACGTCGAGTTCACGGACCGCCGGGAAACATCGGCCTCCGAGGCGCAGGCGTACGGCGCAGCGGCAGAGATGCTGCAGGGAGCGAGGCCCGGCGCTCCGCCGACGCACCAAGTCGAAGAAAGGCCGGTGCTCCTGAGGGGACAGACAGAAACGCCAAAGACCTCTGGATGCTGGACGGGGAGAGAGAGAGAGAGACGGGCGGCACGTGACTAAAGACACCTCGCGCTCACCTCGCGGATCTCGGCGGGGAGAGAGTCCATCCACTCGCAGGCAGGGATGGACGTGTAGGAGTTCAGCATCACCTCCAGGGTGGCAGGAGAGAGGACGCACAGCTGCAGCATCTGGAGACAGGATAGAAACTCCAACCAAACTTTCTCTTTGAATTGATTATCAGTCAGATGTTTTGTAATATTCACTTGTAAGATTTCACTTTAGCTGGAATATTAGACCATGTGCTTTACAGCTGTGGATTCAGTGTTCCGTGTTTGAAGTTTAAGATTAAGTTTAAGAAGATCTCCAAATTTATTGTGGCCTTTTTGTCGTTGTCCCTCCGCCCTCATTCCCTGTTTAAACATTATTTGGTATAGAGCGCCAGTATACCAAAATAGTTTACTCAATTGCAATTTTTTGTTTTATTTTCAATTCTATTCTACAAATGTTTTTATTAATTATTGTTGGTAATTGGCTGATCATTCTAACTATTCTTTTGATCAGTTTCTTCAGTTTGTGTTTTCACTATGAGGAGCATGCAGCTCTCGGGTCAATTAGCGGCTCCCTCTCCGTGGTTGTTGGGGCTCGTAGTTTAAGCAGAGGTAGTAGTTCGGGCTCAGATTGATGTCACGTGCTTGTTTTTAACCTTTGGTGCAACAGGCTCAGCTCCATGGTTCAGAAGTGACCGTGCTACTGCTTCCGGCTGCTGGCCGGGGTAATCTTCCACCACCTCAAATAAGAAAACAGAAAAGAGTCACTCCCGCTGCCCGATCTTAAAAAACTCTCAGATTCTAAACTTCACACCTATTCTACCTGTATCAGACAGTCCATCGGCGTGTATCCCGCGCAGTTGGCAACACGTGCCTCGGCTCCGTGCTGCAGCAGGACCTCCACGATCCGGGGGCTGCAGTTTGCGCAGGCGTTGTGCAGAGGGGTGTGCTGCTTCCTGCCCGCAGTTCTGGGGTCGGCTCCCGCGCTCAGCAGCCTCTGGACCACGCGCAGGTAGCGGCCGGCCTCGGAAGGCCTCTCGGCGGCGGAGCACGCCGCGTTCAGAGGGGTCTCTCCCTCTTGATTTGTGGCCGCCACGTCTGCTCCATGGGCGAGGAAGAGCGCCACGTGCTCCTCCAGGCCCCGGCGGGCCGCCGCGTGCAGAGGCGTGAGCCTCGACTCCCTCATCCTCACGCTGACGTCGGCGCCTGCGTCTACCAGCAACGCGGCACACCTGCAAACAAAAAGGCACCGAGCTGGAAAAGCAAAAGCTGTCTGTGGAGACCGAGCGAAGAGGGATTTGGATTTCATTTTCTGATTTTAAATAGGATTTTTTTTGGTGGGAAAGGACTTTCCCAAACGTCCCAATAGGCGACCAATATCAACAAGCAGCCCGGGTGGTTAGGGGTCAGCTCCTCCGTCACTCACTGGAACGACTGGGCGGAGGTGCAGAGGTGGAGAGGGGCGCTGCCGTCCGCTGCCAGCACCTCGGGGTCGGCCCCGTGAGAAAGCAGCAGCTGGACGCAGGCGTCGTGGCCGCCCGCGCAGGCGTCGTGCAGGGCCGTGTTTCCCCCGGGGTCGGTGTTCACCTCGGCCCCGCGAAACAGCAGCTCCTCCACGATCCCCGCGCGTCCTCCGCAGGCCGCCAGGCGCAACGCCGAAGTCTGCTTCATCTTGGAGCTCAGCGTCCACATGCCTGCGGACAGAAAAGGGGCTCCCAGGAGTGTGTCGGGTGTCGTGTGAGATGGTGCGAGGACCTGGAGCTCATAATACCCATCTCCGGGGCCCACGCCATCTCCTCCTGCGCCGTCTCCATCAGGGCGTTGACCATGGCGGGGTCCTTCAGCACCGCGTACACTCCTTTCATGTCCCCGCACATGAAGGTGTTGTGGACCGCCGTGTCTCTGCAACGGGCCTGGGGGGCAGGGGCCCGGACCTGCTGGAGCCGCTGCTGCCTGGGAGGAGGCCTGGGCGCTCGGGGCAGCGGGTCCCTGGTCATCGCTCTCCTGTGAGCCAACGCTCGCCGGGCGTCTTCCCAATCCTGAAGCTCCCGCTCCAGTCTCAGGGAGCGCAGGGAGGTGGGGGTGAAAGGAAATGTGTCCTTTGACATGACACCTTGAAGGGGGCCCCGTCACAGAGTTAAAGGTTACGTTTTGTTTTTTTACTGTCGTTGTCAACAACATTTAGTTTGGTAGCTGTACGTCAGCCAGTAGCAGCAAACAACCATAAACACGGTACAATAAACAATCCATCCATCTTCAAACCGCTTATCCGTCATACCGGCCGCAGGGGGATGGAGTCAAACTCCGGACGGGAGACGGCTGATAGAGGCTAAAGCTCTGGAGGAGAAGCTCTGGCTCAGTTTATTTGTGCGTGTTTGTATTGTTGCGAACCTTTCCCCCGATGGCAGGGGAACAAACAGACTTGTGTCCAGAGTCGGGAGCTTTGGTCCCTGTGATCCTCTGGGCTGTTTTGACTAAAAAGGTCCCCACGGTTCTCTGTCGTGCAGCTGGTGCACCACACGGTGGCGCCGTAGCAAAGAATGGACTCAATGGCGCTGCTGTTAAAAGTTGACCAGGAGCTTGGAGGCGAGTTGTGTGAAGTTGTGTATAAACAAGTTTCATGCCATTTCCAGCACAATCGTCAAACAGCGTGAAGCAACGGAGTCTTGCCGAAGCAGCGGGTAGTTAGTGTCCAGGGAAGCCCACTAATCTAATCTACTCACCCTCTGCTGGAAATGGTGGGAGTCACAGGCGCCCGAGTACCGTAAATCATCTCATGACTTAAACCTGTGATGTTAAAGATCACGAGTGAAAATGAAAGGTTCCTTCGTGGACACAAGTCACACGTTTGTTACTTAACAACTTTAGCACTGGTTATTAATAGATCAGAATGCAAGCTGATACTTGTACTACCCCAAATGGTCGTTAGGGGGCATCAGTGATCAGATATTTATGTTCCCAATGAACAGTCATTCTATCAACGAACCAAGAATTGTTAAGACAGATGTTCAACCACTTGTAACAGTTCAAACGTTAAAGGAATAACCGCTTTCCCCTTGCAGTTTTTACAGGACATTGTTTGGTTTGCATGTGTGATACTGTACGTTTAGAAAAGCGTATAAATGATATAACCTTTAATTATTGCCAGCTTTCATCTGATTCAATAGTTAGGTAAAACACTGAGAGCATTTCATATATTAGCATATTAATATAAAAAACAAACTAATATGTAGGCATTCCCCTGAGTTATAAACGCAAAAAAACAAACCGAATACTTCCATTCTTCGGGGAGTTAATCATCTCGCTTTGAACAACCTTTGTAAAAAGCCTCCGACGTCATCACGTTGCGTTTGAACGTGGCGGCGCGGCGCGGAGGAACGGAGGATTCCTTTTTCCAAACTCCCTTGCTGCCTGGCACCGATTGCTCGTAAAGTTAAAGTCATGGGAATAAAACAACACGATATATTAACGCGCAGTTACTGAATGGCATTCAAAGTCTCGGTGAGTTCGGTGGGCGGACCGATCAAACAGCACTTTAGTCGCAATATTATCTCACGAACGCGATGGTAAGTGAACCTAACTTACTCTAATCAATGTTTAGCTAACTCGGCTAGCTTATGCTGTCTGTGCGATGTTAATCGCACACAGGTGTCATCTGGTGAACGGCACCTGGAGGTCGGTTGCTGCTCGTGCTTTGTGTCGAGCCGGTTCATCGGTGTCCACCAGTGTGTTGTTACCAGCGTGTTGTCCACCAGTGTGTTGTTACCAGCGTGTTGTTGCCTCTTGTTACAGACCTGCAAATTAAGTGGCCTGTTCAGCATTGGCGAGGACTTCGATGACGAGGTGAATCCCAGCAGAAAAAAAACACACGTGATTGCATGTGTGTGTTATCATTTCACAAAGCTGTGCATCCTGGAGTGTGACACGTGAAAGTAGTGTGCACCAGTTTATAATATTTTCCTTTCTTTGTTGACATCAACAATCTATTGAAGTACGTGTGTGTGTTTCCCAGGACCTGCTCGGGACGGACTGGGGTGTCCCCTCATCCTCTGGACCAGCCGACGGGGCAGCTGCTGGCTCATCCTGCTCACTGCGGCCTTCCTCCGCGTCCCGCGGAGAGACGCCCCCGCAAGGCTCGGCCCGGCAGACCGGAGCAGGACCAGGACCCGCAGCCCCGCGCAATGGCCCGGCATTGGAGAGCGGGTCGCACACTGCTCCTGGACAAACTGTCCCGGGGTTGAGACGGCCCTCCTCCTCCTCTTCTTGTGCCCCGCCCCTTCCCCGCACGCTGAATAACTGTCAGCCTAATTCGGCTTTGCGTCAGAGTCCCGCCAACACGGACCCAGAGCCCTGCGCCGCTCTGGACGATTTCGACGACTGGGATGTCGACCTGGCGGACCTGGACGAGTGGGACCGGCCGGCGGGACAGCCTCCCACTCCGATCCCGCCTGCTCCTCCGGTCGCTCCTGCACCTTCGTCCAAAACGCTGCGACCCCCGACCTGCGGAGGGGTTCGGACGCACACTAGTCGCCCCCAGGGAGGCTTCGGCACCGAGCGCCAGGCTTCCGGCTCGTTCAGTCGTAACCCGCCTCCTCGGATGTCCTCCACTCCCCTCCCGGGTTCTACAAACCTCCGGCCTGCTCACCCGTCGGCCCCACCACACAGCCCCAGTGTGTTCCGTGGCCTCACGGCCTCTTCTCCCGCCCCCAGCCCCGTCTCCAGGACCCTAAACAGGCCCCAGAGGCCGTGGGCCACTCCGGGAGCCTCTCCTCAGGGAGGCCGCGGCGGCCTCTTTGAGACCGTCTCCCCGGCGCCCCCGAGCTCCCCGTCCGTAAACTCCTCCGCCCTGAGCCCTCATCCCCTTCACACGACGGTCCTCACCAACCGCCTGGTCCAGTTGGTATCGGCCTCCAACAAGCTCCCTCAGAAGAGGCCTCGGTCTGAGCTTCAGAGGTCCAGGACCAGACGCTTCCCCGGCCCCGCCGGGTTCCTGCCTCAGCAGGTCGGCCTTGTGCATCTGGGACTTGTTATCATCATGTAATCGCACCCACGTTGTCGGAAATAACGCTGCAGCTCTAACTGACTTTCTGTCATGTGTTTTTCCCACCGTGGTGCCGTGTAATATTCTAGCTCTTATGTCTCAGCCGCAGGATCAGAACCTGGACGACATCGTGGTTTCTGTCCCTCAGACTCCTGCTCACGGTGCTGTGGCCCGGTCGCCAAGCCAGGTAGAACATTTGTTTTCATTTATATAACATGTCTGAAAATAGCAGAAAAAAATTGTTTAGATTTCTAGTTTTGGCAGATTAACAACCCAGAACCTAAATGTTCATTCTAACGTGACAAATCCAGCAAATGTCCAATCTGAAACAGCTGGAACAAGTTCATTTTTGTAAATTCTAGACTCAAGTACTTAAATTAGCAATAAACTGAATATCATACTTTTGTCAAAGAACATTTTTGAAGATTGACTAATAATTTACTTTAAGTGACAACGAGGTTGTTGCATCAAGTCACAAATGTGATGTGTCTATTTAGGGGAAATTCCTATTTACTAGTTTACAAGGAGTCTTTTGAAAACAAGATGGTTCATCTCTAAGTTTGACTTTTTAGTTCTGTAGTACTATTGAGTTACCTTAACAGGTCTGTAGGAAAATGTTTTCCAGCTTGTTTTCTGGGGCTTTTATTGTGAAGGACACAAACAACTACGCAGCTCCTGACGTAACTCAATACAACAGATTCCAGTAATGACGTCCTGCTTCCATCAGGTTTTCCTTTTCCCGACCTTTCCTTTGTCTTCCAGGCCGGACGTTGAAATGTTCGATCCGCGTGTAAACCGTGTGACTCTCTCCAAAGGGCTCCGGCTCACAGGCCGAAGAAGAGGAGTTCGGCGGCGGCGGCTGGGCCGCGATGAAGGCCGAGATGGGATTGGACGAGAGGAACCCTTCGTGCTTCCTGCACTCTTACAGCGTCGTCATGGTGCTCCGGAAGGTGATTACAGATCTGCTGTTGTCTTCGCGTCGCTCGCCAACATGAAAACCACAGCGATGAAGACTTTCTCAGCCCGGTTCAGACATTTGCAATGAGTGCATTTTTTTATTCAAGCCGTTTTTATAAATATTTATCCTCCTTGATAGCGCTGTGTCGCTGCTGGAGGTCTATTGGCCTAATCGGGACAAATGGAGGAGCTGTAGCCGAGATCAGCATCCATCATCTCTCTAATGGAGTCTGTCCTGTTTATTCTGCTCTCTCCAAAGCGCCGAGTTTTCTATCTCGGTAGAACTGCGGCGTTGGGTCGCTGCGTGCAGTTAGGCGTGGCGTTTCCTTACTGACGCACGGCTGAGCTTCTGACACGAACCTCGGCTTCCCTAAAATCCCCGTTAGACTGAATAAAGACATTTAGACACAGCGCTGAATAACATGTTGCATCCAATGAGGGGATTAACACACAGTCCATGTTCATAATCCGCAGGTTTCTTTTTATCCTCAGGGTGCTTAGAATTAGTCTTCAACACATTTTAAACCTGAAGGAATAATCTGTAGCTGTGATTAGTGCTGCGTCCTTCTCAATGTGACCAACAGGCGCCGCCAGAAATGATTTTTCGTTTGACCAAATTATCTAAATGTAGATAAAACTTTCATTTTAAGAAACCGCAATACTACATTCCTCAAGCAGTGACTTTCACGGCCTGCAGAGAAACGCATTAAGTTGTTACAGGTCCAAATCCAGCTATTTAACTTATTTTCCTTGTGTACTAGCTGAATATATTATTCTGTTGTTCTCTTGATTTGAATAATCAAGACAATTGTTTTTTGTCCCCCACGTCATCGCAGGCTGCGCTGAAGCGTCTGGCGAAAAACAAAGTGCCCAACATGGCCGTGCTGCTGAAGAGCCTCGTCCACACGCACGCCGACGCCAGGGCCGTGTTCAAAGACCCCACAGGTAGCATTTCTTTATTTTTATTCTAACGTTTCTAGCGTGCATGACGAGAGAGATGAGCTTCTTCGTTGTAGTTAATCCGCTGTCCTGTTGATATTTCCGGCCTGAAGGGGAGATCCAGGGGACGGTGCACCGGCGTCTCCTCGAGGGCCGGGAGGAGGAGCTGAAAGTGGGCGCCGTGCTGCTGCTCAAACAGGTGAGACTCGTGGCTTCGTTACGGTTTCGCGCTGCCGACGGCGGCGGGAGATGTTGAGCGTTTATTCGTGGCCTCGCCCTGTGGACAGGTGGGCGTGTTTTCCCCCTCCCATCGTAACCATTACCTGAACGTGACACCCAACAACCTGCTGAGGATCTACGCCGCCGATGGCGCCGGCCCGTCCGACGCTCGGCTGCCCCCGCTCGTCCTGGTGAGCGCCGCCATTGAACAAACGTGAAGTCTGTCATCCAGAACAATCCGTCCTGCTGCCAGCCGTCCCTTCGAAAAGCCTTTTCTTCTCTTTTTCTCTCTCTGTCCAGGAGCCGACGTCCCCCGCCGGCCCCCAGGGGACCGTGTCTCGCATGCAGCTGGTGTTTGACGAGGAGGAGGATGACGACGAGGGACAAGAAGGGGGGGGACGCTCAGAGGGAGCCTCAAGAGACACTATGATCGGCTCCAGCACCGGCCCCCGAGAGCCCGCCGGGGAACCGGCGCCACAGGACTCCGGCTGGGATGCAGGTGGGGGCCCTGCGATGTAATAAGACATGTGAAGAGAGAGCGAGATAAATTCTAGTCACATGCCCGGTGCAACTACGAGAAGCAATAACTAAACCGATGTTTTCAGTCTGATTAATCTGCTTTTCTTTTCCTGTTATTATGCAGTCTGTGAAACCTAAAAAAAAACTTAGATGGATTGTTGTCAAAGCAAAGCGGCGAAGAATACATTTGTATTCATAAATTACATGATGAGTCTGATCAGCTGCCAACTCTTAACTATTCATATGATAATTGTAATGGAACATGGACATCAGTCCCTGAAATATTGAATTAGGTGAATCCTAATAACTTTGATCCATCAGCAGATCAGAAATTCAAAGGATTAAAAACATAATTTGTAGTCTTGTTCGAGCAGCAGGAAAACAAATGAAACAAAGAGCCCGTTTGATGGTGTGTGAATGCACAAACGAGAGGAGAAGTGCTGCATGAAAACCGAGGGCAGCCATTGAATGTGAATCCATCATTATGTTGTGTTGTCGTCATGCTGTTACTTACTGGAGTGTGTCTGTTGTGCAGACGATGACCTGGATGACCTGCTGGGAGAGTTACCCGAGGACACTTACACCCTTTGACCTTACACCAGCTCACTGCTGCGACAGTAGAGACGTTACCTCGTCGTGTTCCTGACGTCACCCTGGTTTTTGTTTTTGTTTTTATCACCGCTGAAGAGCTTGTGTGTCCTCAACTGTGTTCGATATCGGGGCCGTAAACGCCGCAGAATATCGCCTTGATTTAACCTGCTGTAACTTTGTCATTTTCCACACACCAGCGATGATGGATGTATTGTGAGAAGCAGACCAGTTAATTAATCACAAGAGCTCTGAAAACCAGCTCTGTTTGATTTCACCGTCACAAAGAATATAATTAGCCCGACATACGTTGTGGATGCAAACCCCCCCCCCCCCCCTTCCCACTTTTGTTGTTACCCGCTGTTACGCTTTACATCAGCAACCTTGAAATAAATGACTAATTTGCACAGCATTGATTTGCTAATCATGCTAAATGGAAGCGAGGGGAGGCTTTTTCTTTGTTGCCGTTGGTCCTTGCAGAGTGGAGTCGATGCACAGTGACCCGGCTTGTTTGCCACGCGGTAAGAGGGGTCTCTGAGGGTTCTTCTCAGACGGCCATGTGTTTGTTTGACCGGTAAAACGTGTGCAGCCAGCAGAGAGTCCGATCATCAGGCCCGTTAACGCTGACTGCCTGGTTTCCGTCCAAAAGAGGGGAACTAGTATTAAATTGGTCTGTACAGTGACACATTTTGAGTTATTTTGGCTGCACGTTTAAGTTTACCGTATAGCCTTTTGTTCAATGACTTTCTGGTTAAGGTGCTGACTCTGCTTACATTTGATAGTACTCACATTCTTACAGGCTGAACAGTGTTGGAATCACTAAGTAGTCAAACATGTCAACATGTTTTAAGCACTCTTCATGGGCCTGTGTTTGATGATGTGGTTTTACCTGATCAGGTTTTGACTCCACAAAAGAAGGTTTTGACTTCTTTTGTGGTGCTCAAAGCTCTGAAGAAATGACCTTAAAACAATCCAGCAGCAGCTTGTCTTTGCAGCAAACGGGATGCATGTTAGTGTGCACTTTTCAGTGGAGTTACTCTCTACTGCGGAGGAATGAACAGTTGAGTGGATTATCCATTGCAACCAGGAAGCTGTTTCAAGAAAGATCATCTTTTTTTAAATGTAATTTACTATATTGTTTCAAGCAGCACAAACCTGCAATCTATTGGATAAAGTGTGTAGTCACCCAGGTCCGTTTGTTTGTGTTGGGGGTTGAGCCGGGCCTACATCGTTAGTATTTATCTATTGATTTGAAGTCCCTCAAATGTAAAATGAAGATCAATACCTGCAGCTTTAAAGCCACCGATTGACTGCAGATCACAACCGAACAATGTGTCACTGTCTAAATACTTGAAGACTACGCTGTGCGCAGGATGGATCGGTGGGTGAGGAGCCCCAAATGAACCCTGGGAGGATCCCGATTTTCTTTTTGGCCTGGAGCTCTGAAAAGAAAGCTACTTGGTTAGAGGCCTAAACGAAAGGCATTCGCAAAAGTTAAGTCTAAATGAATCTGCAGCGACTCATTCTCTGCAAAGACTTCACAGCAGTGTTGGAAACCAGTGTACAATATAATTAAATAATATCTCAACACAAAATGATGTTATTCTCTTCAATCTTTCTTCATCATGAGAAACACTGATATTGCCTCCTGCAGCTTTTACAAATCTTCAAATGAAACAATTGCAGACAGAGAAATGAATCTTATTCTGGCCTATGATTAAATAGATTAGATTCAACTCAACTGCTATTATAAAACTACAGAGACAAAACCCCTTTGGCATCTAACCAGATGTATACAAAGCAGTTTTATACCAATGTGTGTGTGTAACTACATGTGTTTATGCATCTATAACAAAAGTGCAGGTGTGTAAATATCCACACGATCGTCTTTGTACATTAGTGTTCATGCCGGCAGCAGTGAAGCCCTCTGACTTCATCAGTTCCAAGCGGGCATCGTTAGTGAAGTTCACGAGGCATCGGACACTCCGATAAGAGACCCGATGATAAAACTCTTAATTGGAGGGAAACGTAATTTAACCAGAACAAAGCTCTTTCAAACCATCCGTCTTAATGTGTGTGTGTGTGTGTGTGTTTATATATATACATATATATATATATATATATATATATATATATATATATATATATATATATAGAGGTTGCTCCATCCTTTATCTGCACATAAACCAATTAAGACCTTCAACCATTGGGGGGGTCGATTCCAGCAAGTCTGCAGCTACTGCTCACACGTCTGGAATGATTTGCCCTCTCGCCAGAGAGGAGAGGAGAAAGTGTGCCGTGCCTCACCAACTCTGGTAGCAACGCACACATCCAGATGATCTCTCTCATGATCTACCTATCCAGTCAGAAAGGGTAATTACCGGTGGTGGCCGGCCAATAGAGGGCCCCTCCTTGAGCGCCAATATTTTTTAGTATTAAATTTGACAAAATGTCAATATTTTTGTTTTTGAAATGAATACGCCCATTAATATTTGTAAAATATATTCTTTAAAAGGTAAAGAACACAGAGTTTACAACCATTCAAGCGGACCAGAGGACTGAGATGTATGCACATTATATTATACTGATTATTTGATTTATATATTATACTATAATTAATTATATTATACATGTTGAAAAAAGTATTTAACTGAAAAGTAGTAATGTGTTTTTGATACCTTGATTGTTCATTAAATCAACCTGGAATCTTTGCTGAAATCGATTCCCCCTCCCTAGAACCAACCGCCTGTCAGCTGTCATTAAATCGTACCTTTTAAAATGTTCTATTTGAAATGACATCTCATCTCAATGGCTTAAGGGTTGAGGTCCAACGGTGGACCAAACTATCAGCCCCAAAGGTCCGATCAATTGTTATTCTGGAAGTTTTAAAGATATTTATGTTTATAGAGTTGAGGTTCTCAGCTGAACTTGAATTAAAGCATATACAACATCTACAATCCTCTGACAAAAGACAAACAATATGATTGAAAGCTACAGAACAGCTGAGTAACTCGGAAGAAAAACGGGTTTTGTTTCCATCGTCAAGGAGGAACTTTGAACCCTAAAGTGAGAAGAAACACAGTAAAGAATGAGTGGAAAGTTATCATTATAATAAAGTTATTATATTTACCGTTTTTTCTTCTTTGCCTGTGCAGATATAATTGACTGTGCATGTGCCGGCTGCAGTGTACAAAGCCTCCATCAGATGGGTGAGGCGTTAAAGGAAAAACAGTAGGCCTAAAGGAGTTGAGAAATAAAAGTGACTTAGAGGCCCCCAAATGGGTCCTTGTAACAATTTGACAAGTATTAAAAGGATATGATATGAATATGATATGAATTGTTTTGGCCTTCACAGGGACCAGAACCCGACACAACACAACACAACAAGCGCATACGAGCAATTCAAGCAACACGTTTGATGCACGTTATCATCAAAACACCAAATGAAGGAATATTTAAGGCTAAAGAAAACCACTGGTGTATTGTAGGCCTATGAACTAACGGGGTTCCCTTTAATTTGTCGCCTCTGTGTTTAGATGTGCTTTAAATATTTATCCCAGTGAATTTGACAGCCAGAAGACAATTTCACAATATTACAACTGCTGTTTTTTTCTTCTGAAACCAAAGGCCGTGATCTGTTTTACACTGAATAAGATTGTTAAGCCACTTTCCAAACTTGGACTGCTGTTTTGTCATGGGATTTATTCATTAATATTATTCCTATTTTATATTTAGTTTGCTTTTATACACTCTGCTGGTCGTCATTTTTTGGGTTTGTTTACTTTATTTTTATTTCATTATATTTTTTAACCTCCAACCGGAAGCAGAACTGTGAGTTCCTCGATGGCCGCAGGTGAGTGAACTTCCCCTTAATTAGTAATATTACGAGCCGTTTAACCCAGTAAACAAATATTAAGTAAACCAAGTAAAATACTGTCGTTGTAAAATCATGTACAGCCAAGAGAGGCAGCTTTATGAATGCGTTACTTTTATTTCCTTCGTCGTGATAATTAGCAACTAAGCTAGCTGACGTGTGACGTCATGAAACCGGTCGCAGCCAGTGGTTGCCATGCAACAGCTGTCTCAGCTGACAGCACATCGACATGTTCACGTAAAGGAGAGCTGAAGTGTCGTGTCGTTTGTTGGTTCCATGTTTGGGTCGTCAAACGTCCCGCTCGTTGGATTAACGTGAACGATCGTTATTGACGTGTTGACATGACGGTTGTCATGAGGCTTTGTAGATGAAGGGCAGTGGAATTGATGACTTTGAAAGGCATTTTTGATCCTTGAAAGAAAACTGCAGTAGTGCAAATGTGCCGCAATAGATGCTGTATGGTTATCTAATACTTTATTTAAATGGGGTATGTATTTTAGTCTTATGTATCTTATCTCAAATCCTACACCCTCGTCTACTAATCCTACGTTTAGTTTGGTAATCATTATGTTGTATGTTATATATTGACAAAAATGTAATATGTCCTTTTTACCCTCTATGTTTGCTGTTAGTGTTTATGCCAAAAACCTGCTTGGTTACAATCCTCAGACTAGAGGGGTATTTATCCAACACGTTTGTGTTTGTTAAAAAAGCACGTCATCTTTTTCTTACTCAAATGCCCCTGTTTGCATCAGCTGGATAAAATCCAGCATTGTCCAGTCCCCCCCTCCCCACCCCCCCTGTGAATGGGATATTCTGCGTGTGATTACCTTCAGCCTTTGTGACCACACTTTTTTATTTTTTACTCTTATTTTTATCCTCACCCCTCCCTTCAACCTCCTTTACTCCTCTGTCTCTGCTTCTGCTTCACTTCCCATGACACCCCCCCCCCCCCTCCTCCCCCCTCCAACCACGCTCTTCCCCCGCTGTTTTACCCAGTACCGTCTTCCTCCCTGACAGCCTCCCGTCTTCCATCCATCCCTCCCTCTCTCTGTTTGTGGGGACGAGCAACATGGGGGGGAGGAAGAAGGACAAATATGAGAGACTTTTGCTGTATGGGGAGAGCAAAGGAGGAGAGTCCCCCCCCCCTGCCCCCCAACCCCATCCCTCCCTACCCCCCTCTCGCTCGCTCACTCTGTGCGAGCATGTGTGTCGGTGTGCCCCCCACCCCCTCCACCCTTCCCACCTCCCCCGTCTCTCTGCGCTGTCGTTCGCCGCCACAGATGAGCTGGGAAGAGGAGGGAAAGCGGATGTATCTGGCCAGAGGGAAACGGGAGGAGTTTGGATCGGCATGCAGGGATAACCCGGCGGCTCTGATCATCAACGGCTCACCCTCTCTCTCTCTCTCTCTCTGTGTCCCTCACTCTCTCTCTCTCTCTTTCTCAGACACACGCACGCACAAACACACACGCAAGTGCACTCTCAGACTCGCACGCACTCGCGCCGGCTGGATGTCTTCTCGCTAGGCTGAACGAGAGAGGTGCTTATGGGCTTGTCATTAGTTGGGTGAGCGGAGGATCCCGAGAAGCCTGGACGTGGTGTGTGTGTGTGTGTGTGTGTGTGTGTGTGTGTGTGTCAATTTGAGTGCACACTCATGCGTGAGTTACTGTGTGCGTGCGTTCGTGCGCGTGCATGCGCGTGTGTGTGTGTTTTTGAATGGAGTTGAGTCGGGGCGCTAAATACACAGAGGCGGCTTTGATTGGCTGGCGGCTTAAGTGACTCTCACCTCCCGCACGGCGTGTCACAGAGGACTTACCTCTGAGACGTCTCCGTCAGTGGAATCGAGCAGTCACAGAGGATGAAGGAAGGGTGATGGAGGCACTTTGGGACTTGGGTTGAGTGTCTCTGTGTGTGTGTGTGTGTGTGTGTGTGTGTGTGTGTGTGTGTGTGTGTGTGTGTGTGTGTGTGTGTGTGTGTGTGTGTGTGTGTGTCTGGGGTGTGAGAGGAGCCACAGGCAGGCTGGCAGCCACAGTCACTCTGAGCTCAAGGGACTTCTAGAGAGTGGAGGTGGAGAGGAGAGGGATGCCCTGAAGGGAGCATCGTTCTCTCCTCTCTCTTACACTCAGTTATTTGGGTTGTGAAGATTATGTCCTTCGTTTATACTTGCTGTTCCTGATTTTTCACACGTATCTTACCATGTTTTTTATGTTGCTCTAATTTGCCTACATTTTTTCTACCTCTTTTGTCTTTTGCTCTTTCCCCCCTTTTGGTCTTTCCTCGCGTCCTCCCCTACTCCACCAATGTGATTAAGAGGTGCACACTTGAGTCTTTCATTGCCGTTCCCTCTCACCTGTCTGCGCAGGTGTAGGTGCACCAGGGGCTCCCCGGCGGAGGTGGGCTGGAGGGGCTGATGATGGATCTGAAGGAGGGATGTGGCAGTCAGGAGAGCCTGGAGAGCTCCAGCCTGCACCCCACCTCCTGGCAGGCCTTCGCCCACGCCAGCACGCTGCACGGCCTGCGCTTCATCTTCCCGTACGGTCGGCCCAGCGTGCGGCGCTGGCTCTGGGCCGCGGCTCTGTTGGCCTGCCTGGCGCTGTTGTTCCTGGAGAGCACCGAGCGGCTGGCGTACTTCCTCTCCTACCCTCACGTGACCAGCATGGACGCCGTGGTGTCGTGCAGCCTCGTCTTTCCCGCCGTGACCATTTGCAACCTCAACGCCTA